TAGCCAAACTTTGCAATATTTTTAATCCTGTTTATGGATGGCACCTTCATGTCCCCCAGCACAGTTGAAAGTAAAACCCTTAATTTAAATACATGTATGATGAAGACCTCTTGCAAAACATATCTTGAATTAACCTTTATCAGGCCAGATATCTTAAATGCACTTGTCCTGATGTTTCAATATAGATTTTACATTTTCAAGAGGGAAATTTTCAAAATATGTAGTGACTGAATAGCCAGCAGTGCAGACCGTGATCAGAAGGCATAGGTGTGCTGGCTGATCTTGGTATGCACTGGTGGTATGGATAGATATATTTGAGTTGCTGCAAGCATGCAAAGTGGTAAGAATACGTAAATGTATCTCAAATACTTATGTATACATTTCTATAAATTATTTTTGTTTAAAGATAGGTTGATAAAATTTAAGTTGAGAGTATTGTATGTATGAGTTGTGACAAATTAATGCAGATTCTCCATTTACATTAAGCATTTCAAACCTGTTCAATGGTTCATCCTTAGTCATATTGTGCAAGTATTGCAATTAGTACATTTTGTAGTTATGTTATTTCTCCACTGAGTGTATTAAAGCTTTTGAAATTCTTTTCTTGTTTACTAAAATACTCATTTCAACCAATTTTAAAAGGTTTACCACATTAAATGGTTCATATTTGTTTATTAAATGAATTGTATAAAGTTATCTTCAACCGTATGCCGTAACAGTATAATGTTTGTAATAAAACCTGCATGTATGCCATCTGAATGTTTTAATTTTATGTCATCAACCGTATGCTGTAACACAGTAAATGTAATATGTTTCTTTATTATCATATGTATACTTCAAAAGTCAGTCGCTTATGTTTAGATATTTATTATTTACTAATGCTGTAATACAGAACATCGTATTATATATATTGAAATAAAAACTTGAACTGGTTAACGAAAGTAATATAGAACAGGGAGTTTATTTGAATTTGTATTATCTTTGGAATGCCATAATGTGGTAAATCGTATATGTTTTGATATATTTCATTAACCGTATGCTGTAACATGGAATATAATGTTTAGATCATCAGCTGTATGAAGTAACACAGGTCAGGGATATATTTTTGAAAGCATATCATCAACCGTATGCCGTAACATGGTTAATGTTTTGACAAGTATCACCATGATGTTTTTATACAGAACATAGTATGTGCTTGAACTTTATGACATAACCAATCTCAATAAAATCAGATCATCTTTTTCTCTCCGTAACTCTTTGGTACCTAGCAAAGAGTAGTGGAGCGACATGATATGATTCTCATGAGATTGTGACGTAACAAATTTCATGGCTTGTGTTTTGATACACATATATTATTAACTGTATGCTGTAACACAGAAATGGTATCATCAATGGTATAATTGTTATTACACCAAACATGGTAATGTTTAGACTAATGCCATTCATCACCTTAGTGCAATAACTGGTTAACTCCTATTAGAATTAGAAGGCTTTAACCCATTACTGCACTAATATGATTGTATGCAGTAACACTGAGTTCAGTTTATAGTACAATACATGTTTCCAAATGTTTTCCTAAACAAATGCTGTAATGTTTTAAGAAATTCCAACATCTCTTGTCTGTTTTTCAAAGACCAAGATCAGTCTCTAAGTCATAATACAATGTCATAATAAGTGTTTGACTTACATGTGTATATTATCAGTCATGTATTTAAACACAATCACTGGTATATAGTAAATATTAATATTGTCATCAATATGACATTGTAATTCTGTTGTGCCATCTGTAAAACTTGCAACCTAGTTGATAATTAATATCTTGTTATTTATTACTTAGCTATAATCGCAAGTAACTGTTAAATTGTTAAGTTACACAAGACATTATTGTTTCTTGAAATGTTTTTAAATTTGATATACAACAAATGTCCCTGGAAAGAATAACCAATCTTTGTTTTTAATTTATGCTTTCTAAAATAATTTTGATGGAGCATAACAATTGCTGACTTGTACTTCTGTATTTCCATTGCACTTTACCGTCTCTGGAAGCACATTCACTCATTTTAACTCAGACTGTAAGTCTAGTTTTGTGGTGTTTTTGTTCTTTCTACACATATAAGGTTTTGAGTTTCTCGTAAATTGAGTCATGGTCTCTGAATCTAAAAATAGATTTTCCCTTGTTTTGTTTTTTTTTAAATAAAAAAGGAAGGTCAAAGAATAATAGTATGATATTTTTATTTGTTTTGTTTTCTTTTCCTGTCTGGCAAAACGTAAATTTCCTTTTATCACTCCTGTCTTGTGATGTTTCTTTTGTTTTGTTTTTGTTATACAGGAAGTTTACTATTTTTAGCACAATGTCCATTGTATTGCTTGCATAATGTATTGGTCAGTGACCTTGTAATCAATTTGTCATCCTTTTTATTTAACAATGAATGAATATTGAAATAAGTAAAATCAATGTCAAAATGAAATACATGTCTATAAACAATTAGTAATAAACATTATAGATTATGAAAGATGAGATAATTGCATGTTAAGGTGCGGGATAGCCATTGTTTTCTGTTGTCTTAAGTCTGTAGCTATTTTGGTTATTAACATTATTACAAGCCTTTAAAGTGAATAGGTTCATATTGGAGGGTTATAATATTAAAGGAACTCCACTGAGGTCCAAATGCATAAAAACATAAAATTTGAAATTCTTACATAAATCAGCTGGGGCACTTGCAACAGAAAGATATGCAAAAGAAAATCATATGGAACTTTTATTTTAAAAAAATATTAATTTTCCAGTTCCATCATTCAAGAAACCTGGGTGGAGTCCCTTTAACAAATTATGTTGATAGTATAAAATATCCTTCATGAGAACAAACCATAAAAAAATCTGTTTATAATAGCAGATCATAAAATTGTTCCAGAACAAAATATTGTTATATTCATTCATATAAATGTTCATACTAGTTCACTTAGAACTCTATCAGCATATTTTTTTCAAGAGTATCCAAAATGTAACATTTCTATTGTTATTTATCAATATTTGAAATACTTATGGAAAATGTGCCCATTGTAATTTGTAGAACAATCCACTTTAATGGAAAATGTGCCATTTGTAAACCAATCCACTTAAAGCATACTACTTTAAATTTATTGATGAAAAAAACCCCAAATTTTTCTGTTCATTGATGCTTAAGCTTGAAGGTTGTCACTATTTAAATAGATGGTGAGATATATTTTGGTTAATGCTTGTTAGTGGACAGTGTGATGCTTGTTTATTTTTATGTTTTCACCATTTTTGCTTATTTTATTTTGAAAGCCATATTGAAATACATTAAATTTGTAGTTTCAACATGTATTTTTGTTATCTTTGAAACCTTTTAACCTTAATGCTTAATGTTCAAATTATGTTTTGGGTACGAAGGTCATTTGTTGCCAAAATTGCAGACGTGTAAAATGTTGCTTTTGAAAACTACTTTCGAAAATGCACACATGTATGTCTAGTATTTTTGACTGTATCAGTGCTCTGCAAATAATATGCCTCTTAATGCAATCTTTTAATTGAAGGTTCCCACTTTTAAATAACAAGTTTACATTAAGATCTAAACAACTGACCTAACATTAAAAAAAAGTTTTCAAAAGGAACACTTTACACATCTGGAATTTGGCAAGTGGGGAACATATTACAACATCTATGTATGATGGGTGGAGTCTCAGTGGAACTCTGTGGACCAGTGGCAATGGTTGTTAAGTTGGCACAATTTGTCCTTCACCTCTTTGTGTTGAGATCCTGTCAGGTCTGTTGACTTCCGTCATATCAGAAAGCTTTTCAGTTGTCCCATTGAAGATCAGTCATTTTACCCTGGTGCCTGCTTATTCCTTGACATATCGCATTCAAGTTTTTCCCCCTTTTATTGAAGTTTAAAAACCAGTAATGTGCTTAAACAATGTTTGTCAGACCAAAAACAAAGTATTTACAGCATTGTAAAATACTTCTGAAGAAAATTTGACTGATTAAAAAAAGATGCATTGCATGACTAAACCCATTCATTCCTTGAGAAAGTTTAAGGGAAATTAAAGTTATTTGCATTTTGTTAAGGAAAGAGAGAAAAAAAATGTAGGCAGGAGAGCACACTCAGCTATTCTCAGTGCTTTATAGTATCACAGGAGCTTGGATAATTAACAAAGAGGAAGACTTCATTCACAGAAATACAAATAATGTCAATTACATAGTTATGTGTCTTGAATATTGACCAAGAATATTGTGAAGTTCACAATTGGCCTAATTTCATTCTTCATTCAAGAGTTATGAGTCTTGGAAAGTGATCTTGAAGTGTAACTAAAAAAGCATAAAACTTACATGAATACAGTCAGCTATCCAGAAAAATTGGTTATATATAAAATATAAAAGGTACAATAAAAAAACTAAGTGGATGTTAAACTCAGCATAAAACCAAACAAAGAAAGTACTTTTATATTTCTTCAAATATTAACATACTCTGATCAGATTCTCTGGGAACAGTAGTCTATTCTCTGGGAACACATCTAGATGTAGATTTGCAGACCCCAGGAGATAAACAATTTTAGTTTGCTTGCTCATTTGGGGGGGGGGGGGCTGTTCCCTACATACCCCCACATTTTAGTTGCTTAATATTCATTTCTAAAACTACATCAAAACTTTGAATACCACCTTGATTGACCTCTCGTATTGCCTCTGAAATTTTACAGGGTCCGTTAAACTAGATTCTAGCATTGCTGGACTACAGAACTTGACAAAATATTTGGAGTATCTATACAAAAGATAACTTATGGATTTGGAAACACAAAATAACAGTAAAACTGCAGGAAATATTTAACATTTTATTTTTATGCATATAAAAACAAATCAATCAAAAATATCACTAGAAATCAAAATAAAAGCAGATAATTGTAGAATTATTATATACCTTCTGAGTATAGAAATAAAATGCCTTTTCAAACAATGTACATCATATTCAATTGAGCAAACCTTGACTATCTTTATTTGTTTTCAAAGTCAATGAGTAAAAGTTAGAAATTTTAAATATCCTGTATTTAGAAATTGTATAAAAAAACGACTTTTAGTATTCTGAAAATCCTGAAATTTATTATTAATCCTGAATTTTTTTTCCCCTTGATCTTGTAACTTTTCTGGTAATATCTATGCTTATTTGGCAATTGAAAGTAAAAGAAAAAGGAAACAAGACAATTCTTCATAAATTTTCAAATAGTGCATTATTTAAGAAAAAAGATTATTGCATAAATTAAAAGTAATGCATAAATTAAAAGATGCATACATTAAAATATGCATAAATCAATAGATGCATAAATCAAAAGTTTCATTACATAGATAATTAAACAATCATGTGACATCAGAGGTCATGGGAGTATAACAAATTAATTGCACAAAATATTTTTAAAAAAAACATGTACATGTATGTGCTTTTCATAATGTGCCAAAATGAAAAAGTAAAATAGATTTACCCTGACAAAAATTTAATATTTTTGTATAACATCTTATAAATAAGAAAACATCTCTACATAATTATGTTTAACCAGCTGAAACTGTTACAAAGGATGTAAATAGTTGTTTACTGAAGTGTCTAACAAAAATGTGCAGTGGTCGGGATATATAACTTGCAAATCTGAGGTCTGTAGACCTTAATAGTAACATTTGGGTCATTTCTAGCTGGAGGTACAAAGATACAAAATGTTATGACTATGATACTGTCACATAATGAGTAGAACTATCCTTTCATAATTATAAATACATGTACTTGTTAAGGGAACAGATTGTCAATGTAAACATGACAGAAAAACACAAATCTAATAATAATTATCTAATAATGATACAATTGCATTTTAATTAAACATAGTGAATACATGTACAGTGTTTGTCAATTCAATTCAATTCAAAAACATAAATCTTTATTCATACAGTTATCAATAAAATACATAAGGAGTAACATTTTAATAAAAGACAATAAATGTAGCAGTTATTACATTCAAAATATGTAATTATATGCTTATATCGAACATTCAAAATAAATGATTTTAAGAGGTATCTAAATAAACCATGCACAAGTTTACATGTATATTGTTGCTCCAACTTAATTTTGTTGATAAAAAAGTTCCTTTAATTATGATATTTCTCAAATTAATGTGATAGGCATCAGAACACTCATCAACATTACTCCACTGTCTGAAATACAACTGGTGCACAAAGTGTTGGTTTTTCATACATGTATATCAATTTTGATGTCATATTATTTATGAAATGGTGAGCTACCACAAGTTCTTTGCAGTTTCAATAAATTTGTATAAAAATCAAAGATGGTTTGATAAGATAATGAACAAATGAATAATTTTGACAGCTAATTAAGAGTCTGGTGGTTGTCATGACAACTGCACCTGTGCCTGTTTTTCTCTGAGGTATTCTGGGTATTTTCTACATGCAGCTTGCATCATTGTTAAAAATCCTGGCACCCCAGTCTGTAAACAGAAAAAATATGCATGTAAACTTTTACACATTACAAAAAAATTAACCTTATTAATAAATGATCTGGAACCAGAAAAAACAAGTCTTTGTCACCACAGTCCACTAGTAAAGAGCAAGACCGGCCTGCACACGAGTGCTCTATACTGTTGGCTGATCCAAGTTTTTATTAGCTCACCTGACCACGAAGTGGTCATGGTGAGGTATAGTGATGGGGCTATGTCCGGCGTCCGTCGTCGTGCGTTGTGCGTCGTGCGTCGTGCGTCGTGCGTTGTGCGTCGTTCGTCGTCAACAATTGGGTTGTTAACAGTCTAGCAGTCACAGTTTTGATTGGATCATCATCAAACTTTGTCAGAATGTTTGTCTCAATGAAATACAGATCGAGTTCGAAGATGGGTTATCTCGGGTCAAAAACTAGGTCACAGGAGCTAAAAATAGAAAAAGCTTGTTAACACTCTAGAGGCTGCAGTTTTCATCCAAATATTCTGGAAATTTGTCAGGAAGGTTGTTTTGATGATATCTAGGTCAAGTTCGAAGATGGGTCATCTCTGGTCAAAAACTAGGTCACGAGCTAAAAATAGAAAAAGCTTGTTAACACTCTAACAATTGGGTTGTTAACAGTCTAGCAGTCACAGTTTTGATTGGATCATCATCAAACTTTGTCAGAATGTTTGTCTCAATGAAATACAGATCGAGTTCGAAGATGGGTTATCTCGGGTCAAAAACTAGGTCACAGGAGCTAAAAATAGAAAAAGCTTGTTAACACTCTAGAGGCTGCAGTTTTCATCCAAATATTCTGGAAATTTGTCAGGAAGATTGTTTTTGATGATATCTAGGTCAAGTTCGAAGATGGGTCATCTCTGGTCAAAAACTAGGTCACGAGCTAAAAATAGAAAAAGCTTGTTAACACTCTAATAATTGGGTTGTTAACAGTCTAGCAGTCACAGTTTTGATTGGATCATCATCAAACTTTGTCAGAATGTTTGTCTCAATGAAATACAGATCGAGTTCGAAGATGGGTTATCTCGGGTCAAAAACTAGGTCACAGGAGCTAAAAATAGAAAAAGCTTGTTAACACTCTAGAGGCTGCAGTTTTCATCCAAATATTCTGGAAATTTGTCAGGAAGGTTGTTTTAATGATATCTAGGTCAAGTTCGAAGATGGGTCATCTCCGGTCAAAAACTAGGTCACAGGAGCTAAAAATAGAAAAAGCTTGTTAACACTCTAGTGGCTGCAGTTTTCATCCAAATATTTTGGAAATTTGTCAGGAAGGTTGTTTTGATGATATCTAGGTCAAGTTCGAAGATGGGTCATCTCCGGTCAAAAACTAGGTCACAGGAGCTAAAAATAGAAAAAGCTTGTTAACACTCTAGTGGCTGCAGTTTTCATCCAAATATTCTGGAAATTTGTCAGGAAAGTTGTTTTGATGGTTTCTAGGTCAAGTTCAAAGATGGGTCATCTCCGGTCAAAAACTAGGTCACAGGAGCTAAAAATAGAAAAAGCTTGTTAACACTCTATAGGCTGCAGTTTTCATCCAAATATTCTGGAAATTTGTCAGGAAGGTTGTTTAGATGATATCTAGGTCAAGTTTGAAGATGGATCATGTCTGGTCAAAAACTAGGTCACAGGAGCTAAAAATAGAAAAAGCTTGTTAACACTCTAGTGGCTGCAGTTTTCATCCAAATATTTTGGAAATTTGTCAGGAAGGTTGTTTTGATGATATCTAGGTCAAGTTCGAAGATGGGTCATGTCTGGTCAAAAACTAGGTCACAGGAGCTAAAAATAGAAAAAGCTTGTTAACACTCTATAGGCTGCAGTTTTCATCCAAATATTCTGGAAATTTGTCAGGAAGGTTGTTTAGATGATATCTAGGTCAAGTTTGAAGATGGATCATGTCTGGTCAAAAACTAGGTCACAGGAGCTAAAAATAGAAAAAGCTTGTTAACACTCTAGTGGCTGCAGTTTTCATCCAAATATTCTGGAAATTTGTCAGGAAGGTTGCTTAGATAATATCTAGGTCAAGTTCGAAGATGGGTCATCTCCGGTCAAAAACTAGGTCACAGGAGCTAAAAATAGAAAAAGTTTGTTAACACTCTAGTGGCTGCAGTTTTCATCCAAATATTCTGGAAATTTGTCAGGAAGGTTGTTTTGATGATATCTAGGTCAAGTTGGAAGATGGGTAATGTCCGGTCAAAAACTAGGTCAAAGGAGCTAAAAATAGAAAAAGCTTGTAAACACTCTAGTGGCTGCAGTTCTCATCCAAATATTCTGGAAATTTGTCAGGAAGGTTGTTTTGATGATATCTAGGTCAAGTTGGAAGATGGGTCATGTCCGGTCAAAAACTAGGTCACAGGTGCTAAAAATAGAAAAAGCTTGTTAACACTCTAGTGGCTGCAGTTTTCATCCAAATATTTTGGAAATTTGTCAGGAAGGTTGTTTTGATGATTTTCAGGTCAAGTTCGAAGATGGGTTATCACCGGTCAAAAACTAGGTCACAGGAGCTAAAAATAGAAAAAGCTTGTTAACACTCTAGTGGCTGCAGTTTTGATCCAAATATTTTGGAAATTTGTTTTGAAGGTTGTTTTGATGATTTCTAGGTCAAGTTAGAAGATGGGTTAACATCAGTAAAAAACTAGGTCACAGGAGCTAAAAAGAGAAAAATCTTGTTAACACTCTAGTGGCTGCAGTTTCGATTAAAAAATTCTGGAAATTTGTCAAGAAGATTGTTTTGATGATTTCTAGGTCAAGTTCGAAGATGGGTCGTCTCTGGTCAAAAACTAGGTCACAGGAGCTAAAAATAGAAAAAGCTTGTTAACACTCTAATGGTTGCAGTTTTCATCCAAACATTCTGGAAATTTGTCAGAAAGGTTGTTTTTGATGATTTCTAGGTCAAGTTCGAAGATGGGTCATCTCAGGTCAAAAACTAGGTCACAGGAGCTAAAAATAGAAAAAGCTTGTTAACACTCTAATGGCTGCAGTTTTCATCTAAATGTTCTGGAAATTTGTCAAGAAGGTTGTTTTGATGATATCTAAGTCAAGTTCGAAGATGGGTCATCTCCGGTCAAAAACTAGGTCACAGGAGCTAAAAATAGAAAAGCTTGTTAACACATTAGGGGCTGCAGTTTTCATCCAAATATTCTTGAAATTTGTCAGGAAGGTTGTTTTGATGATGTCTAGGTCAAGTTCGAAGATGGGTTATCTCCGGTCAAAAACTAGGTCACAGGAGCTAAACATAGAAAAAGCTTGTTAACACTCTAGTGGCTGCAGTATTGATTCAAATATTCTGGAAATTTGTCAGGAAGGTTGTTTTGATGATTTCTAGGTCAAGTTAGAAGATGGGCCATCTCAGGTCAAAAACTAGGTCACAGGAGTTAAAAATAGAAAAAGCTTGTTTACACTCTAGTGGCTGCAGTTTTTATTCAAATATTCAGGAAATTTGTCAAGAATGTTGTTTTGATGTTTTCTGGGTCAAGTGCTAAGATTGGTCATGTCTGGTCAAAAACTAGGTCACAGGAGCTAAAAATAGAAAAATCTTTTTAACACTCTAGTGGCTGCAGTTTTGCTCCAAATTTCCTGGAAATTGGTCAGGAAGGTTGTTTTGATGATTTCTAGGTCAAGTTTGAATATGGGTCGTGTCCAGTCAAAAATTAGGTCACATTGCCCAAATATGGAAAAATCTTTATAACACACTAGAGGTCACATGTTTGACTCAGTCGCATCAAACTTGGTCATGATGCTTGTTTAAGACATTGCTTGGATGCGGTTGTGTCAGGTGAGCGATCCAGGGCCATCATGGCCCTCTTGTTTCATCTTGATATCTCTAAAATTGGAAATTTATGTTTGTATATGTATATATGTACCAGGTATGCATTGTGAGAATAACGAAAAGAATTAATCTTTCTTCCAATGCAAGTCAAAAAGAACTTCCCAAAAAGCTGCAACGTTTTTTTTTAGATGGTGGACTACTTTCTATATTTGTTTAAATATTGCATGTTAAGATTTTGAAGGACCATGAAGATACAAATAGTACATTACCTTGGCACCCCAGTTTATCAGCCATGTTGGAATGGATCCTTTTGGGTCATCATAATACCTCATATATGCTGAAAAACAAAAAGAGAGGATTTTGATACTTTAAAACCATTTACATGTAGTAATGTACCATCATAAATTTGTATAATTAAATTGTATCTGGGGCTGTCATGTATGTAGGGAATTCTGAAATAAAAATAATAGCACTAGGAAGGTAACAGTTTAGATCTAAGACAGACAGTAATGTTGCTCATACTACATGTATAACTCTTAAACATCATCTCTCAGTAACAACCAAAATTTTTGTTTCCCAAAGGTTGTTGCTCTACAGAGTTTATAATGTAAATCAAAGCAAAGAAAACAAAAAATTTGAGCAAACATTCGAGACATAATTAATATAACATGTGCAACTGAAATCTCTTTCTCCCTATCATTTGCTTATTCATAACTAGTATTTAAACCTATAGAATTTTAAAAGCATTGAATCTAACAATCAGTTCCGACCAGAAAATATGTAACAAGACTTATTCTTTACATGAAGTTAGGGGTTGACGGAATAGATGATTTTGGAAATATACACCCACCTTTAGAGCCACATTTTCCATCTGTCGTAAGAGCACAACTTTGTATATAATCTTCAACACGTATAACGCCATCTTTCTCAGGAATTGAAGCGACTTTCTCGCTCTTCGCCATGACAACCCATATCTTCTTACCATTATAATCCATCTCCCGCAATGAACGAGCATATACATACTAATTACTTGTTAAAGAATATACTAGTAATCATTATGAATATGATAAAACAAGAAAGAAGTAATTTAAAGTGATCAAATCTTAGGATGACTGTGGCACTATCATTTTTCCTTTGAATAACACAGTATTCACATTTAAGCTTACTTCCTGACCTTCAGCTAGTGTGGAAAAATGGTTTTGATTCTAGTACGGCTGGAACTGAAAAATTTCCAATTTGAGAGTCAAAAACCACTCCAGGACCCCCTAAATTGCATGTAGTTATTCAAAAAAGTATGATGTTCGTAAAAATGTTTCAACTGTATGAGTTTATACATGTATCATAATAAAATATCTAACTATCCTATTTCAAGGAAAAATACACATTCTTGGTTCTGTCAATAGTCAGATGATTGACACCAAATGATACTTATGGTAAGCAGAAATTACATGTAGTCTATTTTGACTAATATTGTCTGTTATTAACCCTCAGCCTGTTGGCAACATCTAATTCTACCCATGTGACCAGTACAGACCATGATCAACCAGCACATCCGTTCCATCTGATCATGGTAGGCACTGATCCCTATTCTCTCAGTACATATTTTGAAATTCTCCCTAAAAATGATGAATGGTTTTGTCTAGATTGATAGATGGACAAGTCCATTTAATATATTAAGTGTGGCTAGTGTTAAAACATGTTTCTGCAAAAAGGATACATCTCTGTGTGACATGGGCCATGGATAATTTACATGCCAGTAGATATACTTCCTCCCCATGGCTTCTGTTTCATATAATTCTACAAAGAAAAAAAAAAGAGCAAAATAAATTATGACATTGACATTTTGTTGACAAACCTTTCATATAATATGAAACAAAAAATTATTTCACCATTCTTTCCTTAAATGAAGCAAATTGCCAGTTGTACAAAACCCCAGTTTCATAGAATGATAGCAACTTTCACATAGGCTAGCCTGATTACATAAAGACTAATAATATTGCAGACTGAAAGCTGCAATATTGAATTTATTTAAACTTTGCATGATGTAAGAATATGATAACAAAAAAAACATTCTAATTGGGGTCAACAACCTTGTTAAGAAATTAGATTTATTTATATATCATAAACCACAAAGACAGTAAAAGAATTAGTTTATAGGCTTAATGCGAACAATTAAGATATTTTGCTGCCATTTTCTCTTAATACCTTTATGAAAACTTAAAACATTCTTACCATTAACATATGAGTCCCATTTTTTCCTGTATTCTAGATCCATATACACCTGAGCACATACATCTGGCAGAACATCATCTAATATCCCATATACTTTGTACTCGTATAGTCCTGATTTCTATAATCAAAACAATTATACCTTTATTCTTAAATAGTAACATGACAATCAAATTAAATCTTAGTCTCAATATAATGTCTTAGTGTTTAATAATTTGGCAGCTTTACTTATAGTTTAGAACTGTTCACAGACTGGGGATAAAATGCTTTGCGACCCTGTGACACTTCTGTTAGGGCTGTCATTGAAAATTGTGGTATAAAGTATCATTCATTTCCATCATTGCATCCAATATTGATTCGAAAAATTAATGGTACATGTTTAAAAACATTTTTAAAATACTGTTAGCCAACATTGAACCAAGACTTCTTATTATTTTTGGGAGGTGTTTTGTTAGTTTCCATTGTTAATTATGATTTATGCATTGATTTTAAATAATAGTATAACTCTGGATACTTTCATCCATAATTACAGCCAGATGGCCAAGTGATCAGTATGACAGAATTGTAATCACATATGTATGTGGTTGCAAGTTTGAATTGGTAACAAAGCATGTTCAGAAACAAATGAATTTTTCCTTGACACAGACCTATTCTTTTTCTGAATGTGATCACTTTAGTAGATTTTTCATGAATTCAAGATATTATAAGGGAAAAGAGTCAACTCGGCCCTATACCAACTCGGCACGGGTCAACTCGGCACGGGTCAACTCGGCCCACTTAACAAAAATACATAAAACGTATAAACTTTGCTTTGCATGTTGTTAAGGTAAATGAATGACAAGAAATATCTTATTATTATATAATTATACATTGTTCTCCTGCTGAAATAAAGTATATTTAGAAAAAAAAAATGTTTTTTATTTGTCTTGCAGATTCGATAAGATTATTATAAATGTGTTTCCTTAGATGCATTTTGTTTGTAAAGTAACGTTATTATCGCTAGTTTGGGGCGATTAAAAGTCCGATTTTAAAATTTATTACATCAATTAAAGGCTGTTAATCTTAGCTTTCTCTCAGTATATATTTCAACACATTCTTTGACACTGAAGGTATTTAAGTTTACAGTTAAACCTACCACGAGTCATAAATACAGAGAGAGATACGCTATCAGTTATCTTTACTTGTAATTTTACTGATAAGAAAAGCCTTTCTGCTGCTAGTTCGGAAACTGTCAGTCCATGTATTATAAATAATTACCATAATTACAATAAATAATGAATATTTATAACACAAACCTAAATATTTATAATTGAAAAGTGGGCCGAGTTGACCCGTGCCGAGTTGGAATAGGGCCGAGCTGACTCGGGGGCCGAGTACGTTTTAGGGCCGAGCTGACCCGGATTCATTATAAGCATGCACAAAAAATATGATGCCACAGTAGTCAGTACATGATAAAATAGTAAAAGAAAACACAATGTATAAAAAATAATGTTTCAATAAACCTATCTCTTCATAAATGAGGAAGTCCTATTTTAAAATAATCATGCTATAAAACTACATCATGAAAATTATATATGAAAATTACCTCATTGTACATTCTGTAAATAGTGACACCGTGAGATTCTGTAAAGAACTCCCAGCCCTCAGTTTGTGGTTCTTCTAATTCCTTGCAAGCCAACTCGAAGTCGGAATCTTTAAATGCTAAATCAGTCATGCCTTCTCCGTTTGCACTCGATTTTGAAAATGATAGTTCAAATTGTTAACGTTTTATCTACTTGTTTTTCTGTGTTTACACGTGTTGTTCGCAGTTTGTCGACCTGAACACGAAATCACATGTTTGGAGCTGTCAAAGTTTGTTTACTTCCGCATCCAAGGAGACATGCGCATTGACCGATATGAAAGGATAGTTCTTTACATTAAAGCAAAGTAACGCAACTTTACGTGTACGCAAATTGCACAGTTTCATATGTAACAGAAGCATTTCATTTCTTTATTTATTTAATAATGACGTATTTCCTTTCTTTCTTTGTTTAGCAATGATGATATAAGAGATTTTTGCGCATTGCGTTCATGTAAAATAGTGAAGACTTGGAGCAGAACGGACTTTGCGATTTAGGCATCAGCCCATGCTGATCTCCTTTGGTTAATTTAATCGACATTCACTTCACGTTAATTGTTTGCCAATTGAATTTACAAAATATGCACGATCATGACATTGTTAAACAGCATATATATAACTACCAGCAAGCATGGTATCAACTCGGCCCTATACCAACTCGGCACGGGTCAACTCGGCACAGGTCAACTCGGCCCTCTATTAAAAACATATATATTAGGATATAGATTGTTTAGTTAATAAAAATTTTAAGAAGAAAATTACTATAATGTTTTTCAGAAATATGATCACTTACAAACAGAAATTGAAAAAGTTGGCAGAGTACCTGTACGTATTGTTTGAAATTATCTTTGTTAAGAAGAGATAACAAGACAATATATGTTAAATATTGATCAATAAATAGAGTTTTTAGATTGAATTTTTGTGACATTAAATGTAATTGCATTTAATACTGTGTGTTCTTTAATACGACCAATGCTTTTTTAACGATATTTTTTTTACAAAAAATCTGGAGTAGCAAAAAATGCATTCTTTCTTTCTCTACAAATTTACATACAAATTGGTACTTTCATCAATAAAACTTTTCAATATCCTTTAGTAGAGGTCTGTTAGTGTGAAAATGTTAAACCATGAAAGTTATGATGAAAACATATCAAAAGTAATAAAAGTAATCATTACCAGTAATATATAATTAATGGCCGAGTTGACCCGTGCCGAGTTGGAATAGGACCGAGCTGACTCGAGGCCCGAGTACGTTTTAGGGCCGAGCTGACACTGATTCCTCATTGTCAACAAGAGACATGAAGGTGCCAGCATGCATTAATAATGATTTTACTGATACCGTAGCATCCACTAACAGCACGGATTTATATTACATAATATACGTAATATAAATCCGTGGTAACAGTAAGCAGGCATTATATATGCATTTTTAAAATCCTAATTACTATTCAAAAGGATTAAAGACCATGTAGACTATACGTACATGTATATTACATATAAAGTATTACCTTTATAAAGTATTTTTTCTAGAATTACTTTTTACGCAATCGCAACACTGTATCCAGGCATTTAGATGTAACAAAATTCTCAGGTCCAGGAATACAAAGTTTTTTCTTCTTCTAGGATTGCTTTTAAAGGGCGATTCATCTATAAGTTATATAAACGTACATGTATGTATTGTATTGTATGTGCACGGGTTTCTTAACAATTATTAGATTGGAGGGAATAAAACAATAAATAACTAATATTTGAGAGTATAAAGGTCGGCAGGTGATAGACCTTTTTGTGATCACCGACATTTTTCTATAATTTACTATGTTTCTCTATTATAAAATTGATTTACAGGATTTTGTACATGTATGTTAATAAGAATGTAAATTAAGGGAGATAAGTATGCAGTTTCAAGGTTCAAGGTTTATTTGAATACGTCAGGGCCCATATGGGCATGTGACAACATAAAACAGTACGTACATACAAAATAATACAAAATGGCAAATAATATGTAAAAACAAAATACTACAAAATGGCAAATTATAAATGGTCATACAACTCCATGATGTAATAAAATTACTGTAATAATTGACTGATAATTGAGGATGAGAGAGAAAAATCAAAAATCATTGCGAGAAAAAACAAAGAGAAAAGACATAATCTAATAAGCTAACATTATTTAAATAATAACATAATATTTTTGCAAAATATGGCAAGTTTCAAAAGGATATCTTTATTACTTTGGTTCATTAATTTTTCAAATTTTAAAGCACTTGGACGTTCATAGAAATATTTATCAAGATACAGCTTTCTTGTATTAACTAAATGTGAACATTCAAAAAGATAATGGAATTCGTCGCCTAAAGAGTTACTGGTACATAGGTTACAAGTTCTAAGTTCTCTTGGAATATCATCAAACCTTCCTTTTTCAATAGGAAGTTTGTGATTCATACTTCTAAATTTAAAGAGAATTAAAGCTAAATTCATAGGTAACTTGCTGAGGTATGGCTCAAAACAAAAATCCTGTTTATAAATCCTGTAATTTAGACATTTACTGGAATTATTAAGTATATATAGACAGTATGGCTGTGGAGTTGTTCCCCTTGTAACGGATTTTCAGGACGGCTGCTACCTACAGGAATGATCTCTAACGCGTTAATGGGTAGTTTTTAATAAACGCATGAATAAAGAAATCGCTTCAGTTACTGTAAAATATTGTGCATACATTGTTTACTCGAGAATATCCTAACATATATGGTATTGGATGACCCACTTCAAATTTCATTTAAAGTTTACCTAGGTATATTAATGTCATGTAAATATAAATATACCTGTAAATATATATACCTGGTTTAACCAAATTTCTATGTCAGCTTCATATTGACGCGAGTTCATCAGGTGATGTGTACATGCGTGGAAAATTTTCGGAGTCCCATATGTTGTAGTGTGTTTTACAAATGTGTATTTTGAATCTCGCCTACATATGTGTCACTCTACACATGTATTAACTTTAGGAAATTTTATAATCTTTGTTGCTGTGGACGATACCAAACTATATTTTCTAACGCTTGTATTGCACGAGGTAAGGCATTGATTTTATTATTCTAGTGTAAATTTTATATACATTCAGCTATTTACGTTATTCCGTTGGAGGCCATCGTTTTTGCATCGGCGACCTCAACGTCGGGTACCCAAGGCCGAACCATTAACATTTTACATGTTGTACATGTATCAAACGTGGGTATCAGACGATGCGGTGACGTCCAATACACCCAGAACGCCGCAAGCGATAGAATAATTAAGAAAAGAGACGATTCCCGTCCAACCGTCCGCCCCATTTTGCCTCAATATTTGATGTAATTTTAAACATTCACTGAATATAATTCTAATGCAGTTAATATTTTAAATGTTCATGTTTCAGTACCATTGCAGTAAAAGACACTTAAATACTCGAAAAGAAGAAGTTAAAAGTGATTTCTGTAACTGGTATAACATTCTACATCTGTAACAAATTATCAAATAGCTGGAGGTATAATAAAAATAAAGTTCCTTTTTGATGGATTTTGTTTTCAGCGGTTGTACATAGTATCGATTAAAAACAATTCTAAGTATCGTTTTACATTGTAGAATCAACATGTTTAATGTAGAAGATAAGAACGGAGACAGTTTACGCAATAAAGTGCAATCAATCAGTTGCGAGTCGGTGGAAGAATCGCAGAAAAATTATGGGAAATGGGCAGAAACATACGAAAAGGTAATTTTGAACTTTCCTATCACATCTTCCCGGCCCATTCCGTTAATCTTCGGATGATTACCGAGATGTTCCGATTACTAGATCTACCAATCGTAAAACTTCGCCTTTTCCGTTATACTTCGTATAATGCCATGATCTACTCCTCATTTCATGCTAAAAATAATTGATACACACAAATTATGATGTATGTAGAGAAGAGAAGATATTGCTTCAAACATGTCCTTTAAGCCCTGATTAGTGGTCACATGTTTCAACGTACTAGTAATGGACGAGTGACCGATTAGAATTTAAAGTTCCGTCCAGGCTTGTTACGTAATAGTGACAGAAAATGGACGAGTAAGTAGGAGACGAACACAAGGGCATAAGCAGAAGCCTAACGGAATACAACGGAGAACAATTTCAGAATAATAAAACCACAGACATTTAGGATGTGGAGCTCAAAACGCCTTTAAAATCCAAATAAAATGCATATTTGTCAATCTTAGCATATGTACTGATCATATATATCAAAAAACTTAATATAAGCCGTTTTGAAAAAAAAATCATATTTCAACGTCTATAATATTTCGGCAAAAATGCCCCCAGGTTAATATTTGAAAACAACGTGTGAAATATATCTCCAATATTTAATGCATATAAAACGTTTTTGAAACGTTCATGTTTTGCAAAATTAAAATAATTCTGTTGTATACATAGAATGAAAAGTAGAAAAAGCTAGAAACTCAAAATTTTCCAAGAAGTTATATATTATCGTTTTAAAATTACATAGCTTAAAAAGACTTGAAAATTAGCCTCCTTATCAATAACATAAGGCAATGGCATATTTTTTAAGTCATCCCTTTAATAAAAGGGCAGACAACTTTTTGTCCCTTTCTCGTAAGGGAAGGAGAATTCTGTGATGCGTCTATGTGGTCGCACGGTCACTTCCCTTCAAACATGTCCTCGATGCATGTATGTGGTCGCATGGTCGAAAATCTCTAATATATTGACAACGTTAACAAAGGCGTTTTGGTACGGAACAGTCAGGTGCTAAATCTTTACGTTCTTAAAAAACTGTTGAAACCATAATAAGTAATGTTAAAGTATATTTATGACTTTGTTACTTCTGTATTGGAGTATCAAAAGTCCAATAAGGACTTCTTTCATTGACTATTTGTAGCACAAAAGTAGCCTCCCTTTGGAACCCTTACACCATTTGCAATGTTATCAGGGCAGGTCACTCTAATGAACTCTTTTTTTGAGCACAACAGTAACCTCCCTTTTGAACCCTAACACCATTTGCAATGTTTGCAGGGGAGGTCACTCTAACCAACTTTTAGGCACAACAGTATATATCCTCCCTTTTGAACCCTTACGCCATTTTCAATCTTTCAGGGAGGTCACTGTAATCAACACTTTAGCACAATAGTAACCTCCCTTTTGAATCCTTACCCAATTTGCAATGTTATCAGGGGAGGTCATTCTAGCTGAGATCTTTTTTTAACCAAACAGTTACCTCCCTTTTAAAACCTTTTGCCATTTTCAATGTTTTCAGGGGAGGTCAATCTAACCGACTCTTTTTTAGCACAACAGTCACCTCCATTTGCAATGTCATCAGGAGAGGCCATTCTAACCGACTCAATTTGTAGCGTAACAGTCACCTCCCTTTTAAACCGTCACCTCCCTTTTAAACCCTTACAACATTTGCAATATTTTCCAGAGATGTCACTCTAACCGACTCTGTTTTAGATCAAAAGCTACCTCCCTTTTGAACCTTACCCTTCCCCTGAAAACATTGCAAATGGCGTAAGGTTCAAAAGGGAGGAAACATCTTCTTGTGACAATCCAAAAGCACTATATTAGATATTTGGCATGTGGATTTCTACCAAGTTTGTTCAAATATAAGCCCTACTGTAGGGCCAAAATTGGCCCCGTCCCAGGAGTCATTGATTTTCCTTACATGTTTACATGTATACTAAAAACTTAAAAATCCTATTGTGTAGAGCTTAGATATTTGGAATGAAACATCTTCTAGTGGATGATTACCAAGTTTGTTCAGATGAAAGCCCTAGGGTCAAAATTGGCCCGGCTCAAAATTAAGGTCATTGGTTTTCCTTATATGTATATAGTAAAAACTTAAAAAATCTTGTGAAAATCCAGAAGAGGTAGAGCTGAGATATTTGGCATGAAACATGTTCTAGTGTATGTCTACCATGTTTGTTGAAATAAAACTCCTAGGGTCAAAATTGGCCCCGCCCCAGCGGATCGAGGTCGACAGTTCAATCCCCAGCCAGGTCAGATGTTTGTTTTTCCTTCTCTTTTTCTGTCATCTTTTTCTAAGTTTACCTCTCATTTAGTGACAGGCTGAACTGTTTAATAAAATTGCTGCGAGAGTTAAAATTAGAAATCAACAACATCTAAATCACTGGTTCAATTTTGAAATAATTTTACACAAAAATTTCCTTGGTGACAGTGTACAAAAATGTTCAGATTAGCTGTCCTTTATTTTCAAATTGTGCTTCTGGGGTGAAAAGGGGATCCACTTTGATCTTTTTACCTATTTCACAGGTGAGCGATCCAGGGCCCTCTGGCCCCTCTTGTTCCAAAAACTTTTTAATTTTGGTATCTTGTTACAGTTTCCAAAACAAACACCTATTTTTCACATAGATGAACCTGATAAAACATTCTCTACTTCTTTTGCTCCGTTGGGAATAATCAAAGTGAATGAGTATTTAGTATGGAAGTCGTTTTACATTTTGTTACAATTATGACACATTACTGAATATTAAGCGCAAATTTCTTCAGTTGTTAAACAAAATAATATGCTATAATACCATTATCAAAACATTATAAAACACATGTTTGACGTTTCTAAAGCATTAAAAAAGTATGGATTTCTGAGGCATAATGTTCCTTTAAATCACAGTCTAACACAAAAAATGCCGCTTCATACTGCAATATACCAATCTTCCCCATTCAACACTGCTGAGGCGTCTTTACTGTTTAACAAGTGCAACACAATTTCCTTTGTACCACATTAACTAATCACTGACGTTTTTGACGTTTCGGGACTGTGAAGGTCTGGACCAGTAACTTGGGTTATTCCCTCACACTGTCTTAAAAACACATAATTAAATACGGTATTAGTTTATGCAGGCCAACATAAATGAGCCGCGTCACGACAAAACCAACATAATGGGTTTGCGACCAGCATAGATCCAGACCAGCCTGCACATCCGCGCAGTCTGATCAGGATCCATGCTGTTCGCTTACAGACCCTATAACAAGTAGAGAAACTGATAGCGAACAGCATGGATCCTGATCAGACTGCGCGGATGCGCAGGCTGGTCTGGATCCATGCTGGTCGCAAGCGCACTATGTTGGTTTTGTCGTGACGCGGCTCAAATGTGAGTATTATTTTCATTTTCAGGATTTACTTCAATTTGGATACTCCGCCTATTTAGCTGTATGCAAACAAATATGCGAAAAGTTCCCACCAGAATCTCGATCTTCTGTTCGCATATTAGATATTGGAGCCGGGACAGGCCTTGTTGCCAAAGAGGTGAGCATTTAAAATTTATAGAGGAATGATGGCTTACTGTTAAATATATTTGCATTTCATTACATTGCACCGACACTGGTTAGTACATGACAATCAAAGAGGTAATGGTTCTACTTCTGCAAATTGACTCAGAAAATAATTAATGGATTTTTATTTTTATTTTTTATATCTTATCTTTTGACAGATATACTTTAACTACACTTTTAACGGTATACTTATTTTCATCAAAAAGAAATATAAGCAGTCACGTTTCAACAACTTATATTTCACCACATTAAAGCAATATCAACTGTTTAACCATTTAAAGATACTAGTATAACAGCTTAGCTATTAATGTTTACGTCACATGATACTTCCTTAAGATAGTATTTTGTCAACACATACATGCACACCATTGTATGATATTTTATAAGATCTCTGCCGTATTTCTGTCGTATTATCGCTTTGTTGCCTCGAAAATCCATACAAGCGAAAATACGAATAGACGACAAAGTCCAATTTTGCTGTCCCTTCGTGTTTTCGCAATTTCGCATTTTGAGGCGAAGAAGCGAAAATACGACATGACGTAAATCAGCAACCATAAACATTAGTACAGTAATTTTAGTCCACGTTTAATTATTTTACTAATACGAGGATCATCTACATTCTAAAAATACATTTTAATACACTTGTTACTATATATAGTAACAAAATCGCCTATGATTTCAACTGATTATGAGTGTCAGAAGATGTGCAAAAGTAATTAACTCTGTAGAAGTTACTGTACTGTACAGAAGAAATGCAGACAGGAATTTAACGACCATTGTTTTCGGGGCCATTATTCATTTTGCGGGACGATTATCACCTTCCGGCCCTACTCTGCCGTGTATTAATCTCTTTATACAAAACCCATGTTTTAACTACAGTTACGACAGCAAGGGTTTAAGAACATAGATGCACTCGAGCCACAAGAAACAATGCTGAATGAAGCCCGGAAACTTAACCTGTATGAGAACTATTTCCAGACATTCATTACCGAAAAACCCTCTGACATTCCTGCCAGTAAGTTATAAACACTTCAAAAATCTGAAACAAATTAAGTAATCCAGTTAGAACGTGATATAAGAATTAGAACATATAAATTATATACATTTTTTCAGGCGTGCAGTTAGACTTCAGAAATTTTAATAACATAATGAAAGGAAGTTAGGTACTACAGTGACATAATGAAACTAGGTTGTTACTTCTGTGTTGCCAAGGGAAACAATTAAAATATGTACTTACTGTATATAGCAACATTGCAGACTTTGATCAGACGGCTCTTGGCTGGCACTGGAGCATATGCATGACATTTTATCAGCCATTATTTTTGTATACATATAAAGGGTCTTGCTTATATATAATTTGCATTATTAATTCTAGTACATAGTAATTTTCTTTTTCTTTCTTTTTCATCTCAGATACATACGATGCCCTTACCGGAAGTGGAATATACGCAGCAGGAGCTCACGTGCCATGTGAAGCTTTGATCGAAATGATCAGACTTGTGAAACCAGGTTCGAAATTTGTGAATTTATAATATACTGATATTATACTGTAGAAGTCTGATAATGATTTATCATTTTTATCATTTTTATATATTGTTTATTTGTTTCCGATAGTTGTACAGCTTACGGTAGTTGGTGGCTTACGATATTGGTTCGTTCTGGGACTAAAAATGTGCATCTCTCTGTCCCAGGTTCGGCTTACGGTATTGGTATACTGTTTACGAAAATCACTCGTACTGCGTACAATTACTTGTATAGTGTGATATATTGAACCGATTTTTGGTGAACATAAAGTCACCGCTTTGTCTGTCCGTTCGTCCGTCTTACTGTCCGTCCGTCCGCTTTTCTTGTCCGGGACATAACTTTGGAACAACAAGAGGTATCATCATGTAACTTTGTAGGTAGATAGATCTCATTGAGTAGGTGTGCAGTGCACAAGAACCGTAACTCTGCCTTGCCTATTTTTTGAATTATTGCCATTTGTTTATTTTTACACTTTGAACTTTGTCCGGGACATAACTCTAAAACTATAAGAGTTCTGAACATGAAACTTTGTAGGTAGATAGATCTCATTGGTTAGAAGTGCAATGCTAAAGAACCATAACTCTGTCTTGCCTAATTTTGGAGTTATTGCCCTTTGTTCATTTTGACACTTTGAACTTTGTCTGGGACATTACTCTAAAACTATAAGAAATATCAACATGAAACTTTGTAGGTAGATAGGTCTCATTGGTTAGAAGTGCAGTGCTAAAAAAAACCAATGACTCTGCCTTGCCTTATTTTGAAGTTATTGCCCTTTGTTTATTTTTACTTTTTGACTTTTGTCCGGGATATAACTCTAAAACTATTAGAGATATCAACATGAAACTTTGTAGGTAGATAAATCTCATTGGTTAGAACTGCAATGCTAAAGAACCTAAACATAGCCTTGTCTATAATTGGAGTAATTGCCCCTTTGTTTATTTTTACACTTTGAATTTTACCCAGGACATAACTCTGAAACTATATGAGGTATCATCACGGAACTTTATAGATAGATAGATAGATCTCATTGAATAGAAGTGCAGTGCAAAAAGCCATAACTTTGCCTTGCCTTATTTTTAAATTATTGCCATTTGTTTATTTTTACACTTTGAACTTTGTCCGGGACATACATTTTGTAACTCTAAAACTATAAGAGTTATGAACATGCAACTTTGTAGGTAGATAGATCTCATTGGTTAGAAAGTGCAGTGCTAAAGAACCATAACTCTGTCTTGCCTAATTTTGGAGTTATTGCCCTTTGTTCATTTTGACACTTTGAACTTTGTCTGGGACATTACTCTAAAACTATAAGAAATATCAACATGAAACTTTGTATGTAGATAGGTCTCATCGGTTAGAAGCGCAGTGCTAAAAAAAACCATAACTCTGCCTTGCCTTATTTTGAAGTTATTGCCCTTTGTTTATTTTTACTTTTTGACTTTTGTCCTGGATATAACTCTAAAACTATTAGAGATATCAACATGAAACTTTGTAGGTAGATAGATCTCATTGGTTAGAACTGCAATGCTAAAGAACCTAAACATAGCCTTGTCTAATTTTGGAGTAATTGCCCTTTGTTTATTTTTACACTTTGAATTTTACCCAGGACATAACTCTGAAACTATATGAGGTATCATCACGGAACTTTATAGATAGATAGATCTCATTGAATAGAAGTGCAGTGCAAAAAGCCATAACTTTGCCTTGCCTTATTTTTGAATTATTGCCATTTGTTTATTTTTACACTTTGAACTTTGTCCGGGACATAACTCTAAAACTATAAGAGTTATGAACATGCAACTTTGTAGGTAGATAGATCTCATTGGTTAGAAGTGCAGTGCTAAAGAACCATAACTCTGTCTTGCCTAATTTTGGAGTTATTGCCCTTTGTTCATTTTGACACTTTGAACTTTGTCTGGGACATTACTCTAAAACTATAAGAAATATCAACATGAAACTTTGTAGGTAGATAGGTCTCATCGGTTAGAAGCGCAGTGCTAAAAAAAACATAACTCTGCCTTGCCTTATTTTGAAGTTATTGCCCTTTGTTTATTTTTACTTTTTGACTTTTGTCCTGGATATAACTCTAAAACTATTAGAGATATCAACATGAAACTTTGTAGGTAGATAGATCTCATTGGTTAGAACTGCAATGCTAAAGAACCTAAACATAGCCTTGTATAATTTTGGAGTTATTGCCCTTTGTTCATTTTTACACTTTGAATTTTACCCAGGACATAACTCTGAAACTATATGAGGTATCATCACGGAACTTTATAGATAGATAGATCTCATTGAATAGAAGTGCAGTAAAGGTACAAACATTTAAATACATAGAGGATATTCAAGTTTTTCCTATTAATACAGGATTTATTTTCCTCGATTGGTATGAAAATAAATATTTCACGAGTGGTGGTAGCCACGAGTGAAATATGATAATTTTCATTCCACAAGATCAATATTTCATTAATAGATATATGATAAAAATGTAAATAAACACCATTTTCAGGCGGCTACATTACTCTTTCTACCCGGCATAGTCTTATTCAAGAGGCGGAGGCTTACAAAGATCTGGAACCATTAATGAATCGATTGGAGGCTGACGGCAAATGGAAAAAAGAATCTCGCGAGATTTGGCCGAGATTTTATCTCGATAAAGATGGAATCGTATGGTGCTTTAAAGTGCTGTAAAAAAGTCTGAAAACATTTTAGGAGTCGTCACACCAAAATAGAAGTGAATAACTGAAAGGGGCATTGTTTTAAAATGCAAGACATTTTTTACAGAAGGGTCTACACTAAAACAGTTTAATTTCAAACAGAATTGTGTCTACATTATATTAATTGTTTATAACAAAAAAAAAACATCCCACGATTAGATTTAGAACACATGAATGTGGCATTTGAATTACTTCAAAAACCTGGTCTGACCCACCCGTGTGTTTACATTCCTATTAATAAAACCCATAATCACCCTGGATGAACAAGTTTTGTCACGTGACCACAAATGCAAACGCCGGACCCAATTTCAGGTAATTATTTGCAGATATCTTTTTTTTCTACTGCGAGCACAAAAATAAGACATAGACCGTAGGACCCGGCGTAAATTAAGCTTTTATTTTATGTGAGTAGTCATTACTAGACTTTAGTAGTTTTTAGAACACTTCGAACACAAATGTTCTTTTCGCAAAGCAAAACGCCGATAGGTTTTTTACTTTTCCAATAAATTTTTTCACTGGAAATACATGTTGAGGTAAAATAATAGAGGATATGTCTTTTTAAAATGCCATTCCGTCCCTAACTCATTTATAATTCCATTTGCAAAGTTATATTTGACATAATCCCATGTTATTCCCCGTATTGTCTAATTTGCAAACGTCGTTTGAACATGTTAAATATGCAAACGCCGGTTGAACATATTAAGGACGTTTTCGGGAGTTTTCATATGGACATATAGGCAAAACTAAAACTGTTCAATAGGATTTCTTTAAACTTGGCATGTTGTTAGAATATGATAGCAGAAACATTTTAAGCGAAAAGAAAATTGGGGTCACCGTTCTCGTTGTTGAGTTATCTGCCCCTGAATCAGACTTTTCTACTTATTTGAGGTCATTTCAAGGGCAGATAACTTATACATACTTAAATGAATTCTTATTTTTACTTCTGGATTATGTTTTTCTTTTTATTGTTGAGTACAATACATAATAACTTGCAATTCCTTACATCGTTTCTGTTAGTTTTCAATGAAAATAAAGGTAGATTCTACTTTAAATTCTTAAAAAATAGTCCATTTTTTTAGAAAAAATGCACAGGTTAAAAGAAGAAGTTGATATAAAAACTACCCACTCTAAGTTTGTTCTTGAAATTTTGCATATCAACTAAAACAAAGATAAGCTTCATGAAAATAGGAAAATAATTATCTGGCCTTGAATTGAACAAAAAAGTCCATTTCAAGGGCAGATATTTCAAAAATGAGAACGGTGACCCAAATTTTTTTTCGCTTAAAATATTTCTGTTCAACAAGCCAAGTTTAAAAAATTCTATTGAACAGTTTTAATTTTGCCTATATGTCTATATGAAAACTCCCGAAAACGTCTTTAAATATATATATTTCTTGCATCTCAGACAGGATTATCTACTGTTTACACCGGTACATGCTGGAAAACTCTGTCTTACACCCCCATGTAAGACAAGTCGCGTGCTTTAAATGACGTCATTGACGCGCGCCTTTTATGAATGAATCGCGTTCTTAGGATGACGTCATTTTCCTTTATGAATCATACGCTACTATAAGAAAGAAGTGCGTAATATATATATCAGTTTTCATAATTTCTGTTCCGAAAATATTTGACATGTAATACGCAAGAAAAGAATCAAACACCGGCTGTTGGTAGGGAATATCCATCTCTCGGGTAACTGTTTAACGGAAATTCGACATATATATTCCGGTCTGTACCGGCAGCCGGTGTAAGATTCTTATAAACCGGTGGTTATTTTAAGTCAAGTTGCAAATAGAGATTACAATTCTCTGAACAAAAGACTTCTCTCTTTTCTCTTTCTTTTTTATTTTAAAACATTCTTCTTCTTCAATAACAAACTTTTATAAAACTTCTGTAGATCTATATCCCATATATACATGTATACATAAAACCGTATAATCTTCTCTAAAATCAATTCCAAACAAAATCCGTCGGGAATAAACTTTGATTTAAAAATTTAGAAATAAAAGTCAATCATCTTAGTTTGAACTATACAGCGACGTTGAACTACACAGTGAGATCACTTGGAGTTATTTGTTTCAAATAAAATTTAACGAAGGTGTTTTCTTTTGACCAATCTGCAGCGTTGAGAATTGGGACCTAAAGCTCTTGTAGAATGTGCTGTTTCACTTTTATGTTTATCTGCATAAGCCTCTGGAATAGTTTTAAGAATATATGAAGCCAAAGTTTGTGAAGAAGCTTTAGAATGAGGTACATTAATTTTATTGTCAGAAATAAATTAACTTGTTTCATCTTTACGTCTGAAGGATTTAGTTCTTTTAAGATAGATAGCAAGATTAGTGCTCTTCTTGGATGGACTTAAAAGCTGGTACACACATTTTTGCTGATGAATGACAAGGTATATCCTGTTTAGCCAAACCTTGTCTGATAAAAGTTTCCCCATCTGCCTTCACAGAAATAGCTCCTCCTAATGTTAACGCTTGAAGGTAGCTGGCTCTCCTGAATGCCTTGATAGCTGTAAGAAAAACAACTTTATATGTTAAAAATTAAATTGATGTTTTTCTCAAAGGTTCAAAAGGAACTGTTTGTAGCGCACTAAGAACTTTAGGCAAATCCCATTCAGGCAACAACTTTGTTACAGGAGTTCTTAAATTGAATACTCCTTTTAATAATCTGATATAATACAGATGTTGACCAATAGGAGTGCTATCTACTGGAGGTAAACTGCAGATAAAATAGGGCGGTAACCTACTGTAAACCTTTATTGTACAGATCTGATAAAAACTCAGCACAAGTATTTAAGGATGCTGTGAAGGAATCAATATTCTTTTGACGACACCATATCATAAATTGTCTTAATTTACTGTAGTAATCTTTCTGAGTACCAGTTCTCCAGCTGGCTGTAAGAAGTTTTGAAAAAAAAACCTTTTCTCTAAACTGTCTGTCGATAGCAACCATGCAGTCAGTTTCAGAACACCTGGATTTGGATGACATATCTGAGATTTGGTTGTTGTAACAGATTTGTAACCAATAGAAGACTTAACGGTTGAGCTACCGATAGATTCAATAAATCTGGAAACCATGGGCGTCGTGGCTAGAATGGAGTTATTAGAATCAGTTTGCAATGAAATTGTTTCATATGATGAAGAACTCTGGAAATGAGATAGATATAGTTCAGCGTTCAAAAAGACATCAACGGGCGCTTGCATATATTCCAAATGACCAACTGACGTTTGCACATTTTACATGATCAAACGACGTTTGCAAAATCGACAATAAGTGGAAAACATGGGTTTATATCGAATATAACCTTGCCAATGAAATTATAAATTAGTTAGGTACGAAAAAATTACTTGTAAAAAGACATATCTTCTATTATTTTCCCTCTACATGGGTTTCCAGTGAACAAAAAAGATAAGAAAAGGTAAAACCTACCGGCGTTTGCCTTGCAAAAAGAAAATTTGTGTCGAAGTGTTCTAAAAGAACACCTAAGTCTCACAATTACTACATACATAAAATGAAAGCTCAATTAACGCCGGGTCCTACGGTCTAGGTCTTAATTTAGTGGATGCAGTAGAAAAAAAGATATCTTCAAATAATTACCTGAAATCGGGTCGTAATTGCTGAAATGTTAAATCGGCGTTTGCATTTGTGGTCACGTGACAAAACTTGTTCATCCAGGGTGATAATAACTCGTGTTAAAATTGCAGACGAAAGTTTCTGTTGTTAAACTGTCACAATATTCGGCAAATCATCATTTCGCTAAAAAAAAGAAAAGACAATTTCAAAATGATATAACAATTCCTAAAAATGGCATTCTAATTTTTTGTCTGTTGATTTATAAAGAGTGCAATTAATTGTTTGAATATGTTTGCATTTCATTTCCTGCAAAGTTTCCTACTTCGTTATTCATTGAATATGTGTGCATTGCAAAATTCTCCAGTTCGCTATTCATTGTACACATCGCGACCTTTCATTTTTGATAATCAAACACCCTCATGCCAATTGGAATGATCGGCTATTATGACTGACGAAAAGGCCCGAGAAGTTGCACTTGCCTTTTCACATCCATAAGGGGTGTCGCGCTTTGGCGCGGACGCCAACAATCTTACATTTGGTTAAAAAGAAACATAATATGAGAAATAAGAAACAACAATCTTTAAGTGTCCAGGTTTTACTCAGACTGTCTAGTACATGGTCGCTTACGGTTCAGAACTGAATTATTGAACACATTTGATAAAATATTACTTCTTTATTTAACCAACGAATTAAGTAATAGAAAATATACGTTTATCACATTTCCAAAATAAGTAGAGTTTATAGTCAAAACTAAAAAGAAATAACTCTAACGATAACATTTTAGGACCTATTTGGAGTAAGAATTAAAAATGTTCTAAACTTTGCATTAGAGAAAACCATTCACCGATATCGTTTTCAAGTTTATCACATGATGTGAGTAATAAGATTCATTTTTCTTATTTTTCTTAGCTTACTTTCTCTGTATTTGTAACCAGTAAAGAACAGAATATTGAGTTTTTCTTCTTTTGCTTAAGTTGTGGCATCTATTATGAAAAAGGTAACAGAAATATTTCATGTTTTTTTTTGGTGTTCATGTAATTTACTTTTTTGTTTACATTTGTTACAATGTCAAGCCTGTGTTTCCTATTCTAATTAAAATCTAGAACCAAAAATATATTATTGTTCCAGTTAAAATATACAAACCAAAGTATGAATTTTTTAAAACTAACGCAGAGATATAGATAAATCTACATCTCTGATAAACGTTATTGCTTTGACGAAACTGGTTAAATCTTTTTCGAGGTTTATATACTATTTGATGCATGTATGAACCATAGGCCTAACTGGTGTGCAAGATTTCAGATTATTCGCTCACTCCATTTTTCCAGTATACATAAATGAAAAGTGGTTAAACGCTTTTAACCCAGATCGGACAAGAATTACACAAAAGCGCGGATTTATATATTACATTGTTATTAAGATCCGTGACAAAATATGATTTATATCTAATTCAAATATGAGTATATATATTTATTATATACCTGTAAATGAAATATTGATGAAATAAAATGCTTATTTTCATTTTCGTTTTTTTTTTTCACTGTAAAAAAGTATTTGAGTGAAACATTTTTTTTTCTATTTTTACTGGTGTCTTGCCGGGCTACTTTCTTTTAAATTCTGCCAGTACACAAAATTTAAGGAAAAGTCTTCCAAATTGTAATTTAAAAATAGAGACAAATGTATATTATAAACAGAAAATTCAAGATTTTTCTATAAATACATGATTTATTTTCATCTTGTGGCATGAAAATTATCACATTTCACTCGTGGCTACCACCACTCTTGAAATATTTATTTTCATACCACTTGATGAAAATAAATCATGTATTTACAGAAAAAACTTGAGTATCCTCTATATCTTTTAACATCTTTTGCACATTTGTCCGTTTTAAATGTCCATGCAGTTTATCTATGTATGAATGTATTTTCTTATGTGTTAAGATTTCAGGTCCTCAGTGGAGCTCCTTTAATTAAATACCTTAAAAAACTAATATAATTATTATAAACCGTTTTTAACTTTAAGTTCCCAGCTTCTTTCAGTATTTCATTTTGATACCACTTCCAATTGTTCTTGCGTCTTAATGCTCGAATGACGATTAAAAACTGTTTCGCGCATGTCACGTGATGGTGTGCCAACGACGTAAACTTTTTGGTCCGCGCATGTCACGTGATGGTGTGCCAACGACGTTAACTTTTGGGTCCTTCCGAATAATCCAGGCGGGGAACAATAGTTTCATATATTAAGTACATAGCAAATTAAATCATGTGACTGAAAATTATGGAAGCCGTGGAGGGTCACTTTTGAGTTCCGAATTCTAGTTTCTTATTACTTTTGATTTATGACTTTTGATTTTTGAATTATGGATTTTGTAATTGTCCCACGTGCTTGCCTCATGCCTGCAGAATATGACAACGATTCAGACAAGGTAAGTTCATTTACCAAGTAAGTTTCCGGGGAACTTAACAAAAAATATGTTGGCTCATATGCAAGAACAGAATGTTTTTCTAATGTAATTTTAATTAACTAAGAAAAGAAAATACTTTGCTTGCATTGCATTGAGTATCCATTTTTTTATTTTGATTTCCGGAACAGGGAACATTGCCTGCGAAATTTCATTGACGTACAGGAAATGAAATCTCAAGTTAAAACTGCATTGTAAAAGTTGATTTTTCATAAAACAGGGGTACAGAAAAAAAATGTGGGTTTTCCAAATAACAAAAGAACTGGTGTGTGGCCTTATTTTATGAACGTGCATTCCGGTCTAACTCGGTTTGTATGAGGTCCATGAAGCAAACTTTTAAGTTCGCACATTGAATCGGGTCCAGATCATTAAATATTCCTGTATCGCGTAAGTCTTTGAAAACAATAATCCACCAATGGATTCAATTTTGTCGTATGTACACCACCTTTTCTCAATGCGTTGGTTAGATGTGCTTTTTTCCAACTACAACGCTTCGAGTACCAGCATTCGGATCTGTGAAATAGTGTCTGAAGTATTGTTGTAATAGTAAAGCAATGCAGTTTTAGTTTTCTGTACCACTATCACAACGTAGTATTTCGGGGGGGGGGGGGAGGCTTTTTTATGTTCATTATATGCGTCTAAAAAGTATCTTGCAATAAGGCGTTGGTCGTTATTTGAATCCAAAACCTCAAACCATATTATTTTTCTACTAAACCCATCCACAGCACCATGGATACATAATCCATATGGTTTAAGTTTGTCGTAACCGTCCATATGCCGTATAAAACTGGGTCCTTTGGCGTAGTATACGCGCCGGCGTAAGCAATGTGCTTTCTGCATCTCAACACCATCTGGATCAAGCGCTCTCATTACATGTATTTCCATGACGTCGTCCATCTTGACGTACATGTGGTGATCAAGCATTAACCTACGCCACATTGTAGGTAAACCCCATGATTTCCCTTTCTTTATTTCCCCGTTTAAACATTAAACAAGTCTCAAGGAGTAATAATTTATTAAAACCCTTTTAAATTTTTACATTTAAGAATTCCTTACTGTAAACAAGCGTCGTAACGCCCTGTAAAACCAGTTAAAAATCTACGATTTATAGATTTAAAAAATTTTTCTGAAAGTACTCTTTTTTAAAAGTTTTTTGTTATAGATGTTGATGGGAGGTCCTTGAACGGGAGTTTGGGTAATATGAACAGTATAAATGAAAGACACAGATAACATCAAGGTTACTTTTTTCAGTAAATTTTGTCTGAAAAAAAAGTTTTCTAAAATTATCAAAAACTTTATAATTCATAGAATATAAAATGGTAAAACTCTTGCTCCGCAAAAAAAATTGTTTTGGGGCAAAAAACTTATAAAAATTTTAAAAACTCTTAGAATATTTTTTTTTAACTGGGCCCTTTCTATTTTTTTCTTAAAATGTTCTTTTTTTTATTGTTAAAATAACACAGAAATTTGCATTGATGCTAAAATGCAAAAAGGGGCTCGATCACAAAATAATTAATTTTTACTTTTGTGTATGAACTAGCATTTCAGCCTTCACGAAAATTGGTAACAGTCCAAAACTTCAGAGAAAAACTGATTTTGGTTAGCTAATCAAAAAAGCTGAATTACATACATGTTTAATACTGTGCACCATGCCATTTAAAAACGTATTTTTTAAAACTTGTATTCCCTGTCTACTTGTAATTTACTCATGGCAAGATTTTGTGATGAGGACAGAAAATGTATAAACACTAATATAATGAACATATTTGAACATAGCAGATTGCACAAAACACACAGTCGCACTTGTGGAATTAAAGTCTGTGATTTATATTACCACTATGGGATTATATAAAATACAACATGTAACATTAAATTTCCTCCTTAACACATCCTCCCTTCCATGACAAATCTCAATGAAATTATTTAAAACGTTTAAAACAACATGCCTAAAACCAACGTTGCTGCTTTCAGCTTTTGGAGCACGTGAAAAATGAGTTAGCCAAAGTCAAAATACGTTAATCACAAATCAAAAGTCAAAAGTAAAACATCCGTAAGTCGAAACTCAAAAGTGACCCTCCACGGCTTCCATAGAAAAGATATCGGAATGTTTTGCTGGCGTCAAAGTTTTTTTGGTGAGAATCGATCAGTGGTTGTCCCCGAGCGCTCAAGATTCATGGTCGATTGATTTTGATTCCATTGACAAGAAAAATAAATCTTGTTCCGTTCCGTTCCGTAGAATATCATTGTTCTATGGGATATTTATACTTTGCGGAACGAAACGGAACAACTGTTTGCAGTCCCGAAGATTTTATATAAATAATGTCCATTTAGAAGCGGGTATTCAGATGCCCTAGATCGACTGTTCGTGAGGCAGTTTCAATATTTCATTATTTTTATTTAATATATTTACATATTAGTAAAAAATTGCTGTGCCCCGTGTGGTGCCTCAATGTTTGTTCCGTTCCGTTTCGTTCCGTTCCGCAAAGTATAAATAGCCCATATTAATGACTAAGTTCCAGCGGCTGACCAACCCAAGATGAAAAAACAAAATAATAAAAAAATAAAAATCAACTTAAACATAGATCTATCTGTCCTTATAATAACACGTTAATCATCGTTGTTTGATAAATGTTTTAATATTCACAATTAATATATTTGGGATGTTTTATGTAAAATATGACCCGACTGTTCCATATTCATAGTCATATTTCTAGTTAGGGCAAGAAGTAGATAAAGGTACATTATGCCTCAGAAACATTCTTTTAATTCTTAGAAGAGGTAAACATGAACTTTATTATGTTTAAATAATGGCTTTCGAGAATGTAAGATGCTTGTTACCTGAAGAAAGAAATAATTTGTCATAAACGTAGCAAAATGTAAGCAAAGTAGTATTTTGACTCCCATACGAAATACTTATTCACTATAACTGTACTTATTTCCCAAAAGCAACAGATGAAAAAGTTGGTAAAGGAAGTTGGCCAACGAGTAAATTTTTAATATTATAAAAGTACACCAAAATTATAAAAGCTTTTGAGAAATAAAAATAAAATCATTTCCGAGGCATAATGAGCCTTTTGACAATTTTTTTAATATCATTTTTTTTACATTAAGAACAATTTTTGATTTAAGTATTTATTAAATCAGTACACATGTGTTTTTATCTTAGCAAAACATCAACAACTAAAAACACGGTATAAAACTTACAACTAAATGCATCTTCTCAATTTTTCTCTAAAAATGCGCGAAGTATTTGGAAGCCATCTAGGTTGCATGCGAACTTTTTAAGCAAAGTTGCTCGTCTTCCCCCAGTTTTGTCACCAGATGTCAATGTCGCACGCTAAAATCACTTAAGCCGAGGTTCCTATCTAGTAAGCTAATTAAATATACATCATAAATATGTAAATCAACTGAATATTTAGTCCTAAAATTAACCACATGACCTAAACATACATAATCAAAACAAAATAATGTTATTTCAATTCCACCCGTTGTTTTAAACAGCACTTGAATAGATCCCTCCTATACAAGTTTTTAAAAGCACCAAAATAACTAAAGTCAATTTAAATACTGAATTCAATTTAAATGATCATAATTAAAGAATTCCGTTGGGGGAAAAGCGTCTTCTTCACGATCGAATATGTAAGATGGTGATCTGTCATAGCCAAATAGATCAAAATCCTGTCTGTATGTTTCAACATATTCGATAATATCGCTAAGAGGAACAGAAGCAAACGCCTCTCGTTTAACCCTTTCTTTTTGTTTCTTCAGTTCTACCGGATTTGATAGTTTATGAGCTTTTCTTGCCATTTCTATAAACTGATCAGCAGTTATTTTATCAACGTCAGTTTTCTGTATATCAGGTTTAATTTTACTTTCAATAATTCCCCGCATTTGCAATTTTAACCAGATCCGTTGCAACGCCTTTTCCCACACGATATACTTGATGACGTCATCTTTCCACGAGAATGGACTTCTTATTGAGTCTGTGATTGCGTCATCTAACGCCATTTCATTGAAAGAGTCTTTCAATAACGCCAGCGAACTGGCCTGGCTTTCACTAACATTCTCAAAGTAAAAATCTCAGCTCAAATCTGAGATTTTTCTCAAATCAGAAATTGAGATTGAGATTTTTCTCAGTTTGGCTTTCACTAAAAAATATTGAGAAAAATCTCAACTTAAGATTTGAGATTTTTCTCAGATATATTGAGACAAGGTTTGGCTGTCTCAGATTATGTCTCAGTGAAGCTAAATTATTATTTTTAGGGGTATTTTTACTTTTTGCATGGTTATTTTGATAAATAAACATAATTTGACCTTTTTGGCAATTAAATTCCTATAATTTTCATATATTTAGTAATATATTGACTGATTATTGTGGGTGACATCATGCGCTCTAATTCATGACGTCATGAAATTATGACGTCACAATAATCATACTAAAATTGATTTTGTTTTCTTTTGATGTACATTCATTCTTGATAAATCATTTACATAAGCATTCAAATATTCACACGTTTGCAATTGCTTTTTTTTGTCATTGTTTTTCTTGTTGTTGTTCTTTTTAAATAAAACAAAAAAATATAGATCTTCTTAATATAATAAATATACAAAACATTTCCCTGTTGCGTCATCTTACATCAAAACAGCAACTATATTAATATATACATGATATACTACGTAACAAAAAGGAACACTCTATGTTTTAGTCATAGAAGCCCATCAACAATGTACATTAAGATAGCCGCTTATGTCTTGAGAAAAAAAACAACAACAGTCTCAGTTGAGAAAATTCTCAAATGTTGAGAAAAAGTTTAGTGAAAGCCAACTTGAGATTTTTCTCAGGTGAGTAAGAATCTCAGTCAATATTGAGACAATCTTAAATTGAGATATATCTCAGTTTGAGAACGTTAGTGAAAGCCGGACCAGTTCATTTCAACGCGCTTCATAATATACAAAGCGTCAGTTTTGAACGTTTCCATACGTCCAACAAACGTATAGTCGTACGTACACGGCTTACATCCGTTGTAAACACTTTTTATGTGGGGATCTATTCCTTTATTATTCTTTTCTTCATCGGTGACGAATTTCAAATTTTCTGCAAAAGTGACGTCATGTCCATCTGACCTAAAATAAGCATGCTTAAAGAAATTCTTTACTTTATCTGAAAACGGCCGAAACTTGCTTACCGCTTTTCTGCCAAATGATTCCCAGAACGTCGGATTTGGAGGAACAAGTTTGTCAATGTAAACAGACAATAACCTTGAGAACGGGTCTCTCACGAAGAGAAATCTAAATTTCTCATTGTTGGATAAAAGGTTCATCGAACGTTTTTTATCCTTTCTCGATTTGGAATACCACTCATCTGCGGCTTTGATAGGTACGTCATATGGTTGCTTGTATTTGGCTGGTTCTCGAATATCTAACATGTATAGCGTTCTTTTCCAGAATGTAGTACCTACTTTCTCCGTTGGACAGTATACCAGTCTCTTGTCCGGAATATAAACAACCGGCTTTATCTTAAATGACGATTTTATTTGTTTAGCTTTACACACTTTCTGTGAAGCAGAGGCGAGTTTAAATCCATCAAGCACATTAGAGCCTATGAACCCGACATCACTCTTAACCTGAAAGAGAAAAAAGTGATACTTGAAAAACTTCCGTGACCTTTGTTAATTCCACTAAAAAATCGGGACTGTCCCGTTGTTAACTAGTGTTAAGGCTTTCAGTTTCAAAACTTAGCATTAAACACACTATAGTATGTAAAGTTACAACGTAGTCTTCTAACGTGAAACATAGTCCCCTTTCTTTTGATTGTGAGAAAAAAATGAACACTACAGACAATATAAGTTTTAACGGTGTTTGCTGCAGCTAGAGATCGTAGGTTTGAATAATTAATGTGTATTTATGTCTGTTTTGTTCGGGATTTACGTCACACAGCACACAATGCACTATCATATACTAGTATTCAAGTATGACCTTGACCTTTAGGCTGTTTGACTTGATCTTATTCACATGTCAATCTTAATATGCAGAATATGTGTGCATAATTAATTTAATTATTACAAAATCAACCCATGAATTATACAGAGTAAAAAAAGTTATGCATAAAAAATAAACATTTACAAGAACATGTTTTCATAATCGTGACTGCTGACCTACATATCTGACCTTGAACTTTAAGACACATCACACATCAACATCATTCATGTCCAGCATATCATTGAAAAGTTATTTTAAAATCAATTTAGGTATAGCAGAGTTGTTGACCTGACATGACCATCAATACACTGTAGTAGAAAATTCCTATCTACAGGTATGACCATGACCTTAGAGCTGGAGGACTGATACTTGCGCACGACATGTCATTAGTATGGCCAGCATATTGTGGTATGGTATTTCAAAATCCATCTAGGAATTACAGAATTGTTGACCAGAGACAACCAACAATATTTTTTTATGAAAAAATCATAACATGACGATTTTGGACTTACAAGAGTAACCTTGTCTATTGAACTACAGACCTGACTCTTGTGCAAAAGGTCGCCATTAAGCACAACACATCCGTTCATCATCAATATTTAAGTTGTTGACCAGGCTCAACATGTGCTGACACTGCAAAACTATGTGATTCCCCCCCCCCCAATTTTTGACCGGGTGTTTGGGTTGCTGATTAACAAATATGAGTTTACATGGTCAACAAAAGGCTCGGCTTTAATCGTTGATTTGGAAATTTGGAGAAAAGTACTTTTGTACAACATACAACGTTAAGTTAAAGAACCATATTTAAACTCACAAGTGTTCGATTGTTCTTCGTAGTTATTCTTCTTACACTGCCAAAGTGGGTATGTACTCCTGATTTACTTCGTGTGGAACCTAGAAAATAATTGATTCAAAATCTCATTCACATCTTTTATTATTTTTTTTAGTTACCCCGACAAAGATTTAAAAGCGGCCTTCAGCTTTCATTTTTTATTTGGGAAGACAATTCGGAGCGGATCGGTAGATTAGAGTATCGAGGGGTTTCCTTTTAGTTCACGTATTTTATCGACAGCAAATTTCATTTTCAATCTTAATTCTTTCGATTTCTCACTTTAACGATTTATCTAAAAATAACACATTTAACCTTTAGAAAAACTGTAGGCCACTTTAAATGTTGACTTCCCAGCTTTCACATGACATACATCCAAACAGCGTCACCAACCACTGAGCATTATCTAATGGATGTGTTTGCATCTAAGCAGAGCTACAGACCTTCGCTTCGGATAAATTAACACAAAACAAAAATGAGCCGCGTCACGACAAAACCAACATAGTGGGTTTGCGACCAGCATGGATCCAGACCAGCCTGCGCATCCGCGCAGTCTGATCAGGATCCATGCTGTTCGCTATCAGTTTCTTTACTTGTTATTGGGTTTGTAAGCGAACAGCATGGATCCTGATTAGACTGCGCGGATGCGCAGGCTGGTCTGGATCCATGCTGGTCGCAAACGCATTATGTTGGTTTTGTCGTGACGCGGCTCAAATGTTGTGGGAGTGTGCATTATCAATTTATCATCCTGGGACCTATATTGGTGATAAGATCTGTTTATTTTTTTTTTCATTTTTTTAAATTTTCTATGAGAATACCGAAATTATTACAATTACACAATTTGACATACATGCACATGTACATTGTATAAATATGTATATTATCTCAATTTGACAGTTTTTCTTTTATTGAAATACAACATTTTGGTTATATATGTACATGTGTTGCATTGTTTTTCGGTGTATTCTCTTGGCAGTACTGGTATCACAGTGATGACATCACAAGCACCTGCTACCAGAAAGATCACAAGCACCTGCTACCAGAAAGGACAAACCATGAGAGATCCCGAAATCTTAAACAAGATGGTTATGATTTCTTGTACAAAACAAGAACGTGTTTGTTAAACACAAATGCCCCCGGCTCAGATTCTTGTCAGTAGCAATTCTTCAAAAAATGTTTACCCATTCACTCAGTTATGGACAGAAAAATCGCCAAAAAATTGTAAACACAAGTTTTATAGCTTGACAAAGTCATGGCATTTTGTAATTGTGAAAATATAAGTTGCCAAGTAATTGCTCTGACTAGTGATGTTGAAAAATATTCAACTTCATGCAAGTTATCTTCCTACCAAATATGAAATACAACTGTCATTAAATAAAGGCTGTATGGGCAAAAGTGTATAAATCTATTTTGAGCACTGGTGACCTTGACCAAACCGACCCCTAACTCTATCCAAAAGAAGAATACCATGTAAGATATCTTTCTACCAAATTTGAAATACATCTGTCAATAAATAAAGGCTAAATGGGCAAAAGTGTAAAAATCTATTTTTAGCACTTGTGACCTTGACCCAACTGACCCCTTACTCCATCTAAAGGAAGAATACCATGCAAGTTATCTTCCTACCAAATATGAAATACAACTGTCAATAAATAAAAGCTGTATGGGCAAAAGTGTAAAAATCTATTTTTAGCACAAGTGACCTTGACCCACTGATCCCTACCCCAATCAAAAGGAGGAATACCATGCAAGTTATCTTCCTACCAAGTATAAAATATGTCTGTCACTTAATAAAGGCTGTATGAGCAAATGTGTAAAAATCTATTTTTAGCACTGGTGACCTTGACCCAACTGACCACTAAGTCCATCAAAGTTTATGTTTCTATCAATTATAAATAACATCTGTCTATAGAATAAGGTCAATACACCTGTGAAATTGTAAAAATCTATTTTTAACATTGGTGACCTTGACATTGGTAACATTGACCTTGACCCAAATGACCCCATACTACACCCAAAGAAGGAGGTGTTTGTATTAAACTAAGACATCAACTAAAAAATAAAGGCCGTATGAGCAAAAAGGTTTATATTTATTTTTTAAACCAGTGACCTTGACCTTGACCCTAGAGACCGCTTACTCCAAAAAAATTAGAGGACCATCAAAGGTATCCACCTACTAAATATGAAAGATATCAGTAAAGAAATTAAGCAATTAGGAGAAATTTAAGATAAATCCAACTTGCCGAAATAGGTTAACCAGACAAGGCCCTATTTTCAAAGTGAAAAAAGGGAAATAACTGGGAAATATGGATGACACAGTTATATAACTTGGCAATATCATGTGCTTTGTATTGATAAGTAAGTGTGGAAATTATAAAGCCATTAGTATAGATAGAACTTAAGATATTTCCAACTTGCCGTTTTAGGTTAACCATTATTCATTTTCTAAGTGCTGAAAAGAGCAATAACTTGGTAAATATGAAAGCCAGAGTTATGAAACTTGCCCAGATCATGTACTTTGTATTGATTAGTAAGTGTGTAAACTTAGAAGCCATTGGTACAGGAAGAACTTAAGAAAAATCCAACTTGCCGTTCTAGGTTAACCTCGTACGGACAGACGGACGGACGGTTCAATTACTATATGCCCGGGGGCATAAAAAGTTCAACGTTCAGACAGGATTTAAACGCTTATGAAAGTAACAATTTTGCCAAGGAGGCTCTGAACAGACTATACAAATCTTTGCTAATGCGGAAGAACTTGTATATACTGCACAATCACCTTATAAAGAGAACTCCATTGATTACAGGGACTCCGTTGAGATTTTTTACAGGTTGGGAACTCAAATCGGGCTAGGAATCGAACAAAATATTGTTTTCAATTTAATTCTAAGCATTTTTCTTGATTGCGCTTTACCCGTTTAAAGATTTTTTAATTTAATATGAAATAATTTAAAATACAGTTTTCTTTATTTTATGTATCCAGGCGTTTGGGCCTCAGTGTAGCTCCGCTAAAATCAGCTCTTCGAATCACAGGAAGATATGACCAGATATACCGGTCAATAAATGGGTATCCCTTAACCTGCTTTAACCGGAAGTAGTTAGACTTGAGCAAGACAAACCTGCACATGTGCAGTCTAACATTGCTTGATCTATATTGTTGGCGCCTTGCGGCTTTTTTTTGGCATCGTCGTAACCCACGTATACTTCGCAGAACTGAATTCAGCACGCGAAAGAAATGTATACGCTACAAGTACGCATAGGTTACTACGGATGAATATTTGGTATTTTGATATTCAATTACCTTAAAGTTTAAATGGACTGTTCTAAATTCAATGTAGGGTAAATCCATTACAAAAATTCAGCAAGTTAAGGGTTAAATGTTATATTATTGATACACTTACCTTGGTTATGAGACAGCAATATTTGAAACACAATCAGAACGAGGATAACAGCTGTCAAACGTTTGAAAACTTTCTGACTTAAAGCCATTTCCAGTTACTTGGCGACCTTGATGCTTTGATTAGTGTCCTGAAATGTAAAACACTTTTAGAAAAAAAAATAGAAAAAACATTGAGAAGTCATCTAGGTCACCGTCACGTAACGATTACAGAAAAACACACCCAGCCTTCATTATGCTTTGTATAAATAATATGTGGGGCGCAACTAGGGACTTGAGAAAGAATGCATAAATGTCCTGGTCTTCTGGATTTAATCAATTCATCACTTCCGAGCGGCTGAAATGGGTCGACGGATTAAATAAACTTTGCGAAAGTCTTGTCATATTGTTTGATAGTTCAAAAGAGATAAATTTTAGTTATCCTATAGATACGTCATTCAGCGTTTACTGAATTCGTGGGCTTAATAGTTCAGAAACTAAAACACATTAAATAAGTACACCTCATCTTCACACCTCATCTTCACCTGTATTAAACTGGATTTCTTTTCAGGCTTCGATGTTAGCATCTAAAAACAAGTGAACAATTTGCTAAATTGTCTTTTGTGTTAAATTTAGTACCAGCATTAAAGGATTGATAGCATGTTAGACTCACATAAAATGAACTTTTGGAAGTTGAGTTTTCTTAAGTCGCATCAACATAGTAGAAAACATCTGGCGTCTTTCCAGCTTTACTGATTGAGTAAGGCGTTAGGCTCTCCGTCCTTATGTCAGGCACCAGAGTGGAACCACCGACGTTCCGTTAGCTAGCTGGATAGCTTTCTCAAAGTCCCTGACTGGACTCAATTTCGCAACGGTGAGGGGCAAATGGTTTGAAGTCAACGACCTTAACCACTTAACCACGTACGCCCCATTGACAGACTAAGTTTAACAAAAGCACTTTTCTTTATTCTGCACGACTACTAGCATATTTCCATCATCATTTGAAAAAAAAGCGATAAAAGTTGTATGGATTTAGTCAAAGTGTCATCTTAACACAGTTGGTCAACACAATTTTTACAGACAACTAACCCCCAAAACACCTCAAAAACAAATGGCGCACCCTGGAACCTAGGACTCTAACTCGAGCCCACGAATTTAACTCTGTCCCTATATCGGATATGGAAAAACCACACAATAGATACATAAATGAAAATGTTGATACTTATCTTCATTTAGTATAACAGAAATATGGATAATAACGGTCATTTACCTGATCTTATTATTTAGTCCATTTATTCCAGAAATATTGGGTATAGTTTATTTACAAAAATCAAATATAACTATAAAAGCCGTTACTATATACATGCGGTCAAATTTTAAAACGGAAGCTCAATTTGTAAGAAAGGAATTAATTTATATTGCGTTATTCGAGCGCGTTCTAACTTGACACCGACCGACTGCTTTAATCTGTTAAATACTGGTGAACGTCCAGGCCACGGCAAAGTATTCTTTTATAGTAACTGATTGCTTTAAACGACTTATCTTTAATGATCTGAGAATTTCATAAATGTACCGTAAATCATTGCAAACAAAACATAAGGTGTTAAAACACCATTTATTTGTTTTCTCTATGGTATATAAATTACGTTATAAAACCATGACCAAATTCGTTCAACATGTTAATAGAAGTACGTATAAATGTACCCGAGCATTTGGATTGCGTATCAAAATAATAAAGGAAAGATTTTTTGTGACTTAAGAAATCATTCTTATTTTTTTACATGAGACAACCAAAAAAAAAAAAAAACTATATAGGTTGTAGTTATTTTGCCCATAAACATATTTACCATAATCAGACGAAACAAAATATATACCGAAAAAGTTCATCATTCTTTAGCTTACAAGTATACGAAAAAGAGTCCTTAAATGATATGATAATATGAATTTATAAAGAAAATATTTTGGCTTTAGTTTTCATTAACATAATCCATGTAGATTAATTCACACGATTACGTTTTTATTGACGGATTATTTCTTTGTGTATGAGATGAAGTATGGGTAAGAGTATTATACATAGATGTCTTGTGTTTTTCTTTGACTTAAAGACCTAAAACGACTTAAACAACAATCTTTTTAACTTTTCTCTTATCAGATTTCATTTAAGGAGCATTACCTTCTTATTGCGACTTTTTTGTTCTTTAATCCCATGTGTCAAACACTCAACCGTAAATAACATAATAGAACTAATACAGAATGTGTTTATTTACATTTCAAATATTCAATTTAGATTCAGACTTAATAATGTAAAAAAATATTGACCAAATTCCCGTTATTTGTCCGTTCATGTATGTTTAGATCACATTTTGCGTTTATTATAGTGCGTTATGGCAAAGTTTAGTAAAAAATGTTATATGTTTAATAACAAAGAAACGATCTGAATACTAATTTTTCACACCTAATAAAATATAAGCAACTAACATTCAGCGTTTGAACCACGTGATGTTCCATATCGGATCCGATCTGATCAACATAGGCTCGTTTCCATTTCCCGAGTCCAAAACATCCATATTAAATGCATATCACACACCGTATAGCCTGCTCCTTATTAAACTTTAAGTAACAAATTTTGTGAAAATTTCAAAAAATGTGAATTAAGAGGTCATTCTACATTGTTGATAACAATACCGAGCACTGCTGCCAATCCTATATCAGACTCGGCTAGCGCTGCGTCCAATATAAATTTGACAGATGTGTACTCGTCCAATAAAATGCAGTATTGTACTCAACAATGTATGCTAACCTAATTTTTGAGTGCGGAAAAGCTATTTTGCTGGTCTTTAACTTCAATCAAATCGGGTTTCGCTAAATTTAACATTATTTGTAAATTGTGACCACTACATTACACATTGTCGTATTTACAATTGCATTGTTCAGGTGTTTGTAAGTCTCGCAAATCGGCTAAACATAGTTAATCGCTTACTATTTACTGTAGAGGGGTCGTTATATTAAGCTTTTTGAACAAAAGATCTTCTTTAAATATTTATTTAAACGGTAGCATTTACAGTTCTTTCTCATGTATATTTATATTTGCACACATCTTCTGTATGTTTGTTTGTATGTACATTTTTGTATATCAACTGCATAATGTAACAATAAATTGAGGATATCAATACAGGAATCATTTCATCGAGTTGTATGAAAACAAATATTTCATGAGAGACGGTAGCCACGAGTGAAATATGATAATTTTCGTAACACAAGATGAAAATAAATCCTGTATTTATAGAAAAATAACTTGATTTTTCTGTTTAATTTATACATTTTACTATTTGTTGATATTAGAGTTTGAAACACCTCCCATTCTATTTTGTGTATTAGCTGAATTTTGAAGAAAGTAGTCCGACAAGACACTAGTGAAAATACGGAATATATGTTTCACTGCAGTGAAAAATACTTTTTACAGTGAAAATACGGAAAATGAAAACACGCATTTTACTTCTTCAGTATTATTCAATATTTCATTTATCGTTATATAATAACTAAAATAATTTTGTTTATAACATAAAGTGAATGAACATGAATTGTATGTATACTTCAGGATGTTGCATCAATTTTCAAATTCATGCACTAGGTGGATAAGCTCTAAAAACGTGTTCCCAAAATGATCTGTAACAGTTTCTAATACTTGCAAGTATTATTTAGTTAGTATGCCATATATTAATACATGTACATGTTTATTTGAATATCTTTATATAGTACTTATACTTAAAAACTGTTACAGATCCCTTTGCGTACGTCTTCCCATTTGAAATGAAGAGCAAAAATACACGTAATGTGGATGCGTTCATAAAACCAAACATACAAGCACATGCTCTCATGCACGAGATTTTAATGACAGATAAAACATATCAAGTTAGTTGGTTTTTTTCTTTTTACATATAATTATGTTTATTTAGTAATTATGGTACTTAGTGAAGTACCAGTTTCCTAGTTTTCCGTTTTTTATAGATAGGGGAAGTAATTTGTACTATAAAATATTCAGCTTATCATTTTTTGTTGTTTCCCTTTGATCACATAAAAACTAAATAACCGCACATATTTTGCAGCACATTCTATAGTTAGTTTGACGATATACAAATTTTAAATTTACCTCTGAAACTAGTTACCTCGTACTTCCATATATATATGCATTTATGGCAATATGCCAACACGTGTCTGACATGTACCACAGTATTTTTTTACACACGTGCGATAGCGATATATGCAACAACTGCTCAGCACGATTTTCACGTGTCTCCACTGCACTGAAAATACATGTGCGATACTGTGCTATCTTTACACAGTGCGGGTGATAATCGCTGATTAAACGGGAAAGTTTTTAATGAAGTAAATGTATCAAAGAATAAATCGATTAATAAATCGATTAATAAATAACATAAATGATGGAACAATCTCATAGGACAAAATATGATCTCAACCACTTATTAGAATTATTGTTATCATATATGCTATCATATTTTGTTTGCGGTATAACTTTTAGTAAAGCAAATGGTCATACTAAATCCATAAACTTAGTGTTAAGGTTTTTATGCCCCGTTATGATACTGCCTGCAAGGGACCAAATTCTGTTACCCCAGACAGTCCGTCCGTTCGCCCGTCCGTGTGTGCTAGCGTGCGTGGGTGTGATCTAATACCTTGTCGGACCCATTACTCTGTCATCAAGGGATGATAAGCATGATGAGACGGTTTGTCAGGTGTCGAAGTTCAGCAGCTAGAAAATCTTGTCCGGCCAATAAATTTCTTATGCATTTTGAAACATATTGGCGTACATGTGAGGCTTGATGAGACGGTGTGTCATGCGTAAGACCTACACACAAAGCTTCAAGGTCAAAGCCACATTTAGAGGTCAAAGGTCAGCAATTATAAAAACTTACCAGGTCCATAACCTTATCATGCATCAAGAAATTGTTCTGCCTGAGATATGAATAAAGTGTTTAAAAATTTGTATGCCCCCGCCATTATTACTGGGGAATGGGACGAAAATTGGCAACTCTGTCTGTCCGTTCTATAACTCTGATACGCATCAAGTTGTTGTTTTTAAGCCAGTCGGCAAATGTGTTGAGCATAATGTATCCTTATTACTTTGCAGTTGTGATCATCATTAACCAATGCTTTACTTTGACAATAAAAAAGTAATTGTTCTTTTTAGTAAAAACCTATTGAATTTTTATTTTTCCACTTGTGTCCGCTAGAGCAGTCTAAACTATGAAATGTGTGCTCTGTACTTCACTCTAAAAGAAAAATTAAGGCCTTATGAATATTACAAGAGAAAAGGTCAGAAAGGTTTTTATTATCAACAGCCATCTGTCCTCTTACTTTTATTGCAAACCAATTTATGAAATACCTACGGAATGCCGTTAGGGCCATCGCCTATGAATGGTTTGATCTGAAACATGATACTCGAAAGTACGATGATGAAAACTCGAAATCACGAAACCACGATGGTGAAAACGCGACAGTACGATGATGAAAACACGACAGTACGATAACGAAAACGCGATAATACGACAGTACGATGATGATAATACAATTAACTATCGTGTTTTCATCATCGTACTTTCGCGTTTTCACCATCGTACTTTCGCGTTTTCACCATCATACTATCGCGTTTTCATCATCGTACTGTCGTGTTTTCATCATCGTACTTTCGCGTTTTCACCATCATACTATCGCGTTTTCATCATCGTACTGTCGTTTTTCATCATCGTACTATCGCGTTTTCACCATCGTACTGTCGTGTTTTCATCATCGTACTATCGCGTTTTCATCATCGTACTATCGCGTTTTCATCATCGTACTATGGCGTTTTCATCATCGTAGTTTCGTAATTTCGCAATTTCACCATCGTACTATCGACTATCGCGTTTCAGGTCAACACATTCATAGGCGATGGCCCGAACGGCATTCCGGAATGCCGTTATTTTCATCGCCTATGAATTGTTTTATCTGAAACGCGATACTCGACAGAACGATCATGAAAACGCGAAATCACGAAACTACGATGGTGAAACCGCAAAAGTACGATGGTGAAAACACGATAGTTTATCGCGTTTTCATCATCGTAGTATCGTACTGTCGCGTTTTCATCATCGTACTATCGCGTTTTCATCATCGTAATTTCGCGTTTTCACCATCGTAGTTTCGTGATTTCGCGTTTTCACCATCGTACTTTCGACTATCGCGTTTCCGATCAACACATTCATAGGCGATGGCCCTAACGGCATTCCGTAAATACCAACTATTGTGTCATGTTGTATTTTATAATATCTTTATTCATATTATCAGGTTACAGATCTTTTGATTTGTACACGTCGGTGTCTTAACATATGTAGCGGGAACGTCCGTGCATACGTGTCTCTCAGGCACATTTCTAGGTATGTTTTGCTAAAAATATACATGAGTAATGAGGAAAAGCATCTATAGACTTTTCACAGATTAAATTAAATCGATTGTTTAGCTCAATATTTTATTATTATTAAATAATAATCTTCATTTTGGGGGATAAAATATAATACATTTTCGGAGATCAAGTGGTAGAGTTGAAATGCCGTTTGTTAGAAGAAAAATAAAAGATTTTATTTCTGAAAGTCTACAAAATAGGAACGCTGCATCCGACTTATAAGAAATCAGTTTGGTGTAGCCTTGCTAAGTCTACAGTCATGGTCATTCAATTTTTATTTGTAGGACCCTGATACATTACATTATTGACATTTTACAATTAGAATTGGAATAAATATATACATACAAGTATACATACAAGGTTTATCATAGACGAGATTTTTAAAACAGTAACTGTAGTGATAATAATTATGAATAAATTTATGATTTTTTTTGTAAGAAATAGCCGATATAAGTATTATAGAGACTTTATATCGTACTTTGAAAACAATTAGAGGAGTGGTAAGTTATTAAGAAATGTAATTAAAGCTTTTCTAGAAACAATTTAGCTAAAAGGATTTTTATACCAAATAAATAACCCATTACTAAACATGCAGAACTAGTTATATTACCCATAACAAAAGGACAATAGACAACATTACAACATATTTGCATGTTACTCTACTTTAGATAAATAGCCGACAGGACGTCAAGCGCATCTGAAGATGACATCGATATTTTCTGTTCTTCTGCGTAAAAACATTATTCAAAATGGCGTCCCCCATGGATCGTTGCAAAAAAGTAAACAATAATTTGCACAAAATGTTTGATATTCTAGAAACGAACATGAATTCAACTGATACAGAACGCTTTAAAACTCAAGTGCTTTTGTCTGGTGTATTCGGAGAATTTTGGAAACGTAATCGAGCGTCTCAAATTCCACGGAAAATGTACAAGTGTGATGCTTTCACTTTCCTGCGGTTCCTGGAAAGTAAAGGGTACATTGATGAGACCAATACAAAAATTGTGCAGAACACAATCAAGTCAGTAAAGCCCGAACTGAAAGAGCTTGTCACAACAGAGGCTAGTCGATTAGGTAATGAATGTCTTTTAAGTGATTTCTTTTACAGAAGATTTACATGTATTCTGGTATAATTTGTCAGTTTTTTTGTCACATTGTCTAAATTTCAATGGGACAACTTTGTGAATCGTCCGACAAGCAAGCAGATAAGCAGTCGTGTTGATGTCCAGCTGACATTTGATCAATTGGTAAACAAAGTGGTCAATACCTATATTTCTGCAATACCCCATTCGGCTTATATTTGGTTATGGAAGTGGCTAGCTGTACGGGCCCGTACGGCTAGCCAAAAGTTCTAGCCGTACGTGAGTCACGTACGACTAGCCTGGACAAACTGTATTGGCTAGCCGTACGGCACTTTTCAAAAATATATGGAAGTCGAAATGCATATTTTATTTTGTGTCTTTAAATGACGATTTTAATCAAATCTCCGCATTTGTCCTAGTTTGTTCACTTCAATAAAGATGCTCCGCAATTTTGCAAAAAAAATGAATACGAGTAAGCGTTGTATAATCTAGCTTAATAAAATTTAACGTCCTTAATGTTCATGCTTATGATTTGTATGAAAGATGAATTGTTAAATCTGTTAAGCACATGGATCGAATAAATAATGATCGGAGGGGAATAAAATAAATACATGTAAATAAAAAAAAGAATATTAAAAAAAACAGTGAAAAAGAAAAAATAATTTAATAATGCAAACTTCCTTAATGATGGACGATGGACAAACTTCTATACCGACGGTATTTGACGCAATTATCAGAGCCCAACAACAATTATTTTCGGTGTTTTTTTTTTTCAATTTAAAAATTAAACTTAATGGAACAAAAAAAGGATTATCATCAAAATTTTGTAAAACTATTTCAATTGATGTTATTTTAACTGCAACCAAACGCTATTTTTTCTCGACGTCTTGAGATGACGAAGTACATTCTTTACTGTAGCCAACGCGTCGATTAATCTCTAAAAAGTAAACATTCTTGTCTAAAATTCTCGCTTTAAGTTATAATTAACATATGCACTTTCGCCTTCCATATATTTTTGAAAAGTGCCGTACAGCTAGCCAATACAGTGTGTCCTGGCTAGTCATACGTGACTCACGTACGGCTAGAACTTTTGGCTAGCCGTACGGGCCCGTACGGCTAGCCACTTCCTTTGGTTATTTACACAGTGTGAAGTAAGGAAAATGCCTGACTCTCGAAGCGAGGAAAATCCATTTAAAACCTTTTGGAAAGGTCTACAAAATCCCGAAGATTGTAGGCGTGGTGGGCATTTAATTCAGAATAACTTTGTTTTAATTGATAAGCAGTTTTAGTCTCAATTCTACCAAAAATGTTGTGCTGTAATACTAAGTAGGATGTCATCAGTTAATGTGAAGTTTGTAAGATTTGAGTATTACAACACGCAATTAAGCATTATCTATATTTATTTTGCTTAAGCAATTTTTAATTTTATTATGGTCATAAATTTTAACATGATGAAATATTTTGTGTCATGAACAGTTGAAGTAGATCCTGTTGTAGACTATTTAGAGAAGACTGCACCACTGCAGCCTAGTGAATTCACCTATCACCGTCCCATACCTGGATTTCCAACAAGAAGAAGTGAGAGAATTAGGGTTAGTATAATTATTAATCTGAAATGTATGTACTTAAATATTCCAAAGAAGCAGTGTTAGAGGTTTTAATTTTCTCTGGTCCTTTGCAATCATTGGCATTGAGTATTTGAAGATTAAGTACAGCATTAGCTATTGCCAGGAGGTCATCCTTTGGGTTGTGGTTTCCCAATTCTCTAGACTCTATCTGGCACAATGATAGATTCTTTTATTTTTTTTCACTATCATAGTAATTGTCATCGGATGTCAAAATGTGATTATTTTCAACATCAAAGAGTCTGGTTAAAGTGATTTGTTTTGCTCTTTTTCTAGGTCATAAAAGTGTTAAAAATTTGACAACAACACCTTCTTCTATGTCATAAATACTAAGTGGTAACACTGTAAATCTTGAAATAAATCTATAATGCTGAATGATCAAGAATAAAAAGGTTTGTTCCTTATAAAATATAGGAATTTCAAAGATACTTTTTTGCCATTTGAGTATAGAGAAGGTACATGTACATTGATACTGATCTTTTTTATTGTAGAAACGTATATGTACAGATGAAGTCATGGAGTTTCTGGAGATGAGAAGGAAGAAAGAAATGAGAAGACTGCCACCAACAACTGACCAGACTTGTAGTAGTTCTACCTCATATAATTCGCTTCATAATCATCAAATTCAATCTTGTGGTACATTAATTTGTCTTATTGCTTTTGGGGGGACTTGATGATTAAGTGGTTAGGGAAGTTGTCTTCACAACAGATCACAAAAGTCACCGTGACAATGGGTTCAAATCATGGTAAAGACAGTGGGGTTAAGGACTTTTATGCCTAAACTATGGTGTTTGGGATTTAACATTTGAATTTCAAGCTACCGTTTTTGAATTAATAATAAATGGATCCCAAAGCATCAACAAGTAAAAACTTTGACAAACAAATAGAACCATTTATATTATGAAAAGAAAAACATTTTAAAAAGAAATCCTAACCTTTCTAATTCGCTATTTATAGTCTGTGTCGCATAAAAGCTGTCTCATATTTTCAGGTTTTTTGATTTGATGGCCTCGTATTTATAGTAACAGTGCACACACTTAAATTCTATACTGCATTCAATTACTTTGGGACATTGATTAAAGTTTGGCATAATCTGTAAACTGGCAAATGCTTGCATGTGACCATATGATAAGACTTCAGCATTGTCTCTTTACCAAAGGAATATATTTATAGTCATAACTTTTAACATTATAAAAATGTCATGAGATTTTCTTTGGTATACTCACCTAATCTTAACCTTTTACATGTTGAATTTGAAAAGTATGAATTTGATTTGTCTTACTTTGAGTTTCCATCAGTCCATGCAAGATTTTAAGGGTCTTAATTTCAATATGAAAGTGCAAAAATTGAGCTTCTAACAGTATAGAACTTGGTTCGAGTCTCAGACTTCAGTAGGTTCAATGTTTGCATAATACAACATGTAACTTTTAAACAAAAATTGATTCTTTCATTTAAATTAACATTTATTTTTTGCTATCATCAACTTTAATAAATTGTCATCATGTATTTTTAAGCATAAATTTTCCAAATTTGAAAATGTTGGGGACTGGCCTGTCAGACATGACTGGTGGTACAGTGGTCAAGGTTGACATCATACAGTAACATAGTTCAAATATTTTAGTCTGTATAGTTACTGTTAAGTTTTCATTGAATCAAAACTGCACATTTCCATTCTGTTAAAGGGCCACAGCATATTGTCTTTATATATTGATGTACTGTCAATTCACTATTGAAAAATGACTTTATTAACATGGCAAATTGGCATCACAATAATATTACTATATTGACCCTGCGGTGTTTGACCATTGCTCACTTTTCCAGTTATCTCTCATTCTCTACACACTCTTGGTAGTTTCCCTTTTATCCCCACACTCCTGGGAGTTTTCAAGGAAACCTGCTCACTCCTGGTAGTTTCCCTACTATCCCTCACACTCCTGGTAGTTTCCCTACTGTCCCCTCGCACTCCGGGTAGTTTCCCTACTGTCCCCTTGCACTCCTGTAGTTTCCCTATTGTCACCTCGCACTCCTGGTTGTTTCCCTAGTGTCCCCTTGCATTCCTGGTAGTTTCCCTACTGTCCCCTCACACTCCCGGTAGTTTCCCTACAGTCACATCACATTCCTGGTAGTTTCCTTACTGTCCCTAACACTCCTGGTAGTTTCCCTACTGTCCCCTTGCACTCCTGGTAGATTCCCTACTGTTCCCTTGCACTGCTGGTAGTTTCCCTACTGTCCCCTCACACTCCTGGTAGTTTTCCTACTGTCCCCTCGCACTCCTGGTAGTTTCCCTACTGTCCCCTTGAACTGTTGTTTCCCAGCTATCCTTAACACTCTTAATACTAGTTCTCCTAGCATTTTCCCCTCACACCCGAATATTCTCCCAGTGTGTGGTGGATGGTTACAAATGGCCATCACAGCAGTGTTTATTTATACAGTAACTAATTACATTCATGTTTTTCTTCAGATGTAAGATTACGGGTAAAGGTTGAGTATGAGGATCATCGGACTGTTCTAGGAAATAGTGTACACAGTCACAAACAGCATGAGATAGAACGACAGTTTGAAAAGTTTAATCAAGCGTGTGCCATACTTAAGTCGCGGGACCTTGGAACAGTTGTATGTGATATCAAATTTTCTGAGTTAACCAGCCTGGATGCATTTTGGAGGGATTATACAAACGGTGCTTTACTGGAGGCTCTAAAAGTGGTCTTTATAACAGGTGTTTGTTATGTTATTTGTAAATGTTATTTTCAGTATGCTTCAGGGTGAGCCTGTGGAATTCATTCACTAATCTTCAGATTTTGTAGTTTTATTACCTATAAAACAAGCATTGATTTTTTTATATAGCTCAAGCTGGCTTCAGTCAAAATAGTTCGGCTATTATCATATTGTGTTTATGTCATACCAGGGACTATATTCTGAAGGCTTGGTTCAAAATGGTTATAACTCGTTTTTTATTAGCTCACCTGTCACAAAGTGACAGGGTGAGCTTTTGTGATCGCTTTTCGTTCGTCCGTCCGTCCGTCATCCGTCCGTAAACTTTTACTTTAAATGACATCTCCTCATAAACCACTAAGCCAATTTCATCCAAACTTCACAGGAATGTTCCTTTGGTGGTCACCTTTAAAAATTGTTCAAAGAATTTAATTCCATGCAGAACTCTGGTTGCCATGGCAACCGAAAGAAAAAACTTTAAATATCTTCTTTTAAAAAACCATAAGAGCTAGAGCTTAGATATTTGGCATGGAACATCTTCTAGTGAGTGTCTACCAAGTTTGTCCAAATAAAAGCCCTGGGGTCAAAATTGGCCCCGCCCCAGGGTGTCATTGATTTCCCCTATATGCATATAGTAAAAACTTAAAAAATCTTCTTTTAAAGAACCAAAAGAGTTAGAGCTAAGATATTTAGCATGAAACATGTTCTAATAAGTGTCTACCAAGTTTGTTCAAATAAAAGCCCTGGGGTCAAAATTGGCCCCGCCCCGGGGGGTCATTGATTTTCCCTATATGCATAAAGTAAAAACTTAAAAAATCTTCTTTTAAAGAACTCAAAGAGCTATGGCTAAGATATTTAGCATCAAACATGTTCTTATAGGTGTCTACCAAGTTTGTTCAAATAAAAGCCCTGGGGTCAAAATTGGCACCGCCCCGGGGGTCATTGATGTTCTTTATATGTGTATAGCAAAAACTTAAAAATCTTCTTTGAAAAAACCCAAATAGCTAGAGTTAAGATATTAAGCATGAAACATCTTTTAGTGAGTGTCTACAAAGTTTATTCAAATAAAAGACCTGGGATCAAAATTGGCCCCCCCGGGGGTCATTGATTTTCTTTATATGTGTATAGCAAAAACTTAAAATCTTCTTTGAAAAAACCCAAATAGCTAGAGTTTAGATATTAAGCATGAAACATCTTCTAGTAAGTGTCTACAAAGTTTGTTCAAATAAAAGCCCTGGGATCAAAACTGGCCCGGCCCCAGGGGTGTCATTGTTTTTAACTATATGTGTATAGTAAAAACTTAAAAAAAATCTTCTTTTAAAAAATGAGCTAGAGCTTAGATGTTTAGCATGAAACATCTTCTTATGGGTGTCTACCAAGTTTGTGCAAATAAAAGCCCTTGGGTTAAATTGGCCCTGCAACGTTTGGGGGGTGGGGGTTGGGGGGGCCTATATACAGGTGAGCGACCTCAGGGCCATCATGGCCCTCTTGTATCATAAAGGTTACAACCATTTGGCACCAAGGCATAGGCTTCCTTCTTTATGTGGTTAGCCACATACAAGTAGTGTCTATGGTTAGTCTGGTTTTACCATGGTGCCAGGCCATTCTGAAATTATGTTGGTAATAGTATAAGAGGTATTTATTTACCAGAAATAAGTTGAAAGTTGCTCTATGTATTAACAGGATTGCATCAATTAATAACAGTGAGTCTATTACTAGCTTTCTATATATGAGCTTTCCAGAACAATTCTTGAAATAGAACGTTTATCTATATGATTAAAGATTTTCTTTACTTTCAGAGTGGTACCTAATTACTGGTCATTTTACTGATTTTTAAGGGTGTCGTTTTATTTGATGTAAAACATAAATATGATATGTTTATACTAGTAAACATTACATGATGGGGACGTTACTTATAACTATTTAAAAATCTGATGTTAGTAGCATTTATTTCCCTTTGATCTAATATATAGTTTGTCATGATTTTTTGAAAATATGTACCCTTTTTTAGGCATCTTTTACCTTTACTACAGTAAATACATTGTATCTTAAATGAACTTGTCCATATTTCAGTGAGGACAAATCCCTTAATCATTTTTAGGGGAAATTAAAGATATGTATAAACTAAAAAGTACATATCTGGATATGCTGGCTGATCTTTGCCTGTACTTGTTTTATGAGGAGAAATAGTTGCTTCCAGCAGGGTGTGGGTTAAAGAAAGTAAGGCATGGACGGGTACCAGATTTTGGGCACATGTACCTGAGATATCTTATACTTACCTGCAGGAACCAGGCCCCGTGTTCACAAAGATTTAAGGATCAGGATCAAGATCAGGATCAAATTTAAAAACTCTAATATTCTTCTTTTTTCATCCTCATACATTAAATATCTAATGTTAATTTGATAAAACTTGACTTGCACTAGCAAATTAATGAAATTTTAGAGTAAATTTATTGCTATTTTTACATGATACAGGCATTTTACAGTTGATCCAAATATTGATCCTTATCTTAAAATTGATCCTTTTTTTGATCCGAATATTTTGTATTTGTTTTATTGTTTGTTAATTTTATCTCAAAATAGTTTGATTTCTTTGCAAATCAGCATTTTCTTTCATTTTGAATATTTACTATTTAATTCTAGCAAAACACAATTAATTTTAGTAACATAAAACATTGAAAATAAAATCAGGATCACTTGATCCTGATCCTTTCTTTGTGAACATGGGGCCTGGATACCAAGTCATAGTATCCGAAGACTATTGAACGGATCTATGGATCTATTTCAAATTTCCCAAAACCCAAAGAAGGAGAGAAACTGATCAGTACTTTGCCATAAAGTATTCCTTATTTAATTCAACTATTAAGTTAATTGATAAAACCAATAATTACAAAATAACAATTACTAGTATCTTACTAGATTTATACCTGTCTGCTAAAGAGAAAGAAAAATCATGACAAATACATTCCTGGTCAATCTTCAACATTAGTAAATCTTAGCATTAAAATACCTTGCAGTTTGTACAACCTGAGTTCCATAATATAGAAACATATATATTAAGTATGAAATGTCTCACTGTTTGTTTGCAGCATTCATATCAGGGCCATCCACAGAATTTTTTTTTAGTGAAACTGAGAGGGGGTGAGTCCAGGAGGGGGAATTTCCGATACCGTATGACTATTTTTTCGGATACCTTACAGTGAAAAGACATATCTTGATCAGTGCATCTGAGATGCAGAATTAATGGGTGTGATGAAATTGTCACTTTATTTTAATAGGATAGCTCACATAGACATTGTAGTATGTTAAAATAATTTACCTCAAGAGTATTTTCAACTTTTGACACTGCTGTGTTTATGTAAGTCGTAAAACTAAGAAATAATAATTGACATCCCTTCTCTCTTCCAGCATCATGTAAGCCATCCATCCATCCATTTATCTAGAAAGAAAGCCATTTAAATGCACAATAAATATGGAAATAAGATTTGCTGCGACTGGCATGTTTGTCATTTCCATTATTTATAATTATATCTATATTAAGAATGACATTTTGTTTTCTCTATATATTTTCAGAGTCATTAAATGAAGCCGTAGGGCATGAAGCTCTGTGTCTCCTTGTGTCAGTTGATGAAGAGGATTATAGAAAAGGAAGACTGAAGCTGCTTAAGAATTTGACTGATTGACACAATGTGTTATTCTCATGGACACTTGACATTTAGTGGTTTACTACCATGTAAATTTGCAAAATAAGGAAAGGATTTATCAAAGTAATTAAACATGTTATAAATTGTTAAGGTATGACCACCCTAATGAATTACCTCTGCTTTGTAAAGTATTCTATATTCTATAGGCTAGAATTACTGTCAACTGCATTGAAACTTCAAAACCCTGAAGGGTCAATTGTTTTCCCTTTTTTCTGTTAACATTATGTATCTCTCAGATCCCTTTTGGAAAGAAAAAAAGCATTTAATTTTAATTGTATAATTATTATAGGTTCTTATTTTTAAAGTCTAATAAAATCAAAACTACATGGTAAAAATATTTGATATTTAACAAGATCAACCAATATATTTTTGATAAAATTTGGGCAAACTTTGAAAACAGCCCCACATTTTTGTGAATTTTATTATTTTTAAATGAGGCTCTCTAAGTAGGAAAATAGTCAAACGTTTAAGTGTTAAAAATGGTAGCGTTTTTATACATTGTACATACTAAAAACATTTTGAGTACAAAAATCATTTTGCTAGTGGGATTTTTTAGATGTGTTAATTGTTTATTCCCAATAATCATTAGGAAAACATTTCTTTATTAATGATGATATCATAGATTATTTAGGGTTTCCTCATTTCTGAAAAAGAGCCCTTCTAGTACCCAAGCTTTAGTTCAGAAAGTTGTCCATATTGTGTAAACCGTACCATAAATTTTGTTTATATTTGCATAAAGGTGTCTTAAGGCATATGCCTGACCTATGTTGTCAATTTTCAGTTCCTTATAGTGCCTATGGTGGTCATACCTTAACTAAGGGTGACTTGATATAACTTTGATACTTTTGTCTGAAATTTTTTAAAACATTTATACCAAATTTTTGAATCCAATGTTTATTTCATTATCATTGATTTATTGCATTTACTGAGTTGAATTCTAATGAAATACGTGTAATGCAAAATTAAAAAAGATATAAATTTATTTTGACTTTATTTTTAGAGAAAAATTTATTTTTAAAATAAAATATTGAATAATACCCTTAAGGTATTAATGAATTTAATTTAAGATTAAATTTTATGGCTTTAAAAGGGAAATTGATTATAGTTAACTAATTTTAATGTATACTAAAGCAAAACTGTAGTAATGGAACAAGCTTAATGTCAGAGAAAAAAATCCAAATGGAATTGTAGATATTTTATTGATTCATGTTTTGACAGTTTAAGAAATTCCTTTTAAAACAAACATGCATTTAAAGTGATCTATTAGCCCCACACAACTCAGAAGTTAAATTAAGTGGATTGTTTACGGCATCAAAGATTTCTAAAATAGAATTTTAGATTATTCACTGTCAGTGAATAATTAGTTTTAATATGTGAAACATCTTTTTTAATTGATTGATTAGATATTTTAAGCCAATAAATCTACATAATGTAAAGCACAAAGAAAAGATATAATTTATTGGATGTTTGTTGGATTGTAAACAGTTTAAGACAAATTGAGAAATTTAAAGCTATACATTCCCAAGTGAGTGATGAAAATTTAGAAGGAATGAAACTTTAGAAAAATGTATTACAAATTAAAGCAGTTTGTTTATGTTCACAATCAGTTTAAAGGAGCTCCACTGAGGTTGAAAAGCCTAAACACATAAAATTTGAAATTTATTACATAGATCAACAGAAAATGGAAAAATCCGCAAAGGATCTTAAAGAAATATACTTGTAATTAAATAGAAATTCAGTAGTAAGTGCAATTCTTTGCCTGATTTGAGTGTCAAACATTGCCACGCTTTTCATTTTTGTGTCATTTTGTGAAATATAAATGGTTATTCTAGAAATATGGTATGAGGGAATGGTCTAAAAATATGCACACAAGTTATTGGTTCAGACTCAAATAGTATACAAATCTCCGAAATATATTTCCAGTCCTGTCATGTCACAAAACCTCAGTGGAGTCCCTTTAAACATTTGAGATAATGTAGACAAAACAAATTAAATTTACTGTTGTAATAAACACCATATTCTGCTTAGTATTAAATGAAATAAAGATGTCTTTTTGTTACAATTGTTACATGTTAGAGGTATCTTTAGTGGGTTTTAAGTGTCATATGCAAATTGAATTTATGTACTGGAATTTTGTTATTATTTAAATGGTTTACTGTAAATTTTTGTAAGAAATTTGTATGAATTTGTTGACATTTTGCTTTAACACATACATGTATTATGCTGAAATTGTATAATTAATTCTGCTTTGAATTTGAAACAGTCCATTCAAAGTTTTAGGGATTTTGTCATCAAAAAGCGAATTTTACTACCAATAGTATAGTATAGCATATAATAGTATAAACCAAGGCTATCTGCCTTGTCAGAGGACACCAATGTGTTGCCTATATATTTGTTACGTTTAAGGCAAGTTAAGGGTCTTTTGTTCCACACACATTATACTTTGAAAAATAGTTTTCAGTATTCTAAACTATTGTAATAAGCCACCTGTGAGGGACGTAATATTATTATCATTAGAAGAAGCTATCCAGCTAGCTTTCAGAAGATCTGTGATTCTACTCAGGGTGTCGACTTGTGCATGAAGCAGCAGTCAAGGCTTTCCTCCACCAGTAAAGCTAGAAAGTTGCCATTTTATCGTTACAATGGAGGTGCGACTTAAAGCTCAACAAAACGAACAATTACCATATGAAACAAGATAACTGGCTTGCTTTATAAAGAATAAAACTTTTGTATTTTTTTTGAAAAAAAAAATGTAAATTATATCATCATTATAAAGGAGCCTAATCAATGATGCGCATTTAAAAGTGGTTTGTAAGAATGAATTTTTATATCACAATTTTGTGGTAAATTTAGAGAAAAAAGGAAAGAAAGAATATACATATTGTTCAGTTGAAAACAAATTTTGAAAATTTTGAGTAATTTATTGAAACTGTTCTGAATAGTGATCATATGTTATATTAACTGTCCATGCATTCATTTATAATTCAAACTTATCATTAAAAACAAAGACAGTTCTAGCTAAATTTCACATATAGGAATGTTTGATGGATACAATTTTTATTGACTTGGACACATATAAAAGGGTATGGTACAAAACTACGCTGTTTGTGAGTGTCTATGCAATCTTGTTTTTTGTTAAATATATTAATTTTACCCTACATTGATTGATAATGATATTGATTTTACATATATATTATCGTCAAAGATCTGTTGTTAATTTCATTTATTATTATTTTGAAGCTATTAATAAGACTACTAAAGAAATCACTTGCATAATATCATATCTGATTACACCATATAGGCATACTATTTTAAATTCAAAAATACATCTTTTAAATATAAATACACTTTAAATATACTTCCTACAGCGATTTATGACTTTATGATTTTTTCTTTGTAGCTTTATAATCAAGTAAATAAAAACGATGTACATAATAATTTTTACAGTGAAAATACAGAAAATGAAAATACGCATTTTATTTCATCAATATTTCTCAATATTTCATTTATAAGTATATAATAAATAGATAAATTTTTTCAGATGAATTTTATGCTCTTGTTTTGAGCGTTATTTATGGTTTCACAGATTCTGTTTTGCTGTACACAATTTATTTCGTCAGCAATTCTAATGTAAAATAAAGCTTGGAAGCAGAACATTCTTTTACTTCGAAGTGTTATTTATTCTTATATCAGTTATATAAACGTTTGGTAAAACTGTTAGAGTGAGCATTTTTGAGATGGCAACCAAAGGTCATGAACTTTGGTATATAAGAAAGTATATTATATGTAGAAAAACAATGACTCTTTTAGACTTTTACGTATAAGACGAATAGTTTACAGTTTTCCATGTTTTATCTTCCGTTACAATTAATGAGGAAATAAATTATTTGCAGAAGTTTTATCATGTAAATCGAGGCAAAAATGTTCCTTGTATACCTTAAACTTGGATATTTTGTAAACTTATATACATGTTGATATGAAATTTCTGTGTGAAGAGTGTAAATCGGATCCTACCATTCTTTTTCTGTTAATGTGTTTTGATCAATAAAGTTGATTGAAATTAATTTAGTGTAAAGTGTATTCTTTTTATAATCCATGATATTGAAACAGTAGAGTATTTATCAAGTTTCAAGAAAATTTATTCCTTGACATTTTATATAAGATTTTGCAACAAGGCAAATGTTGGGTGAATAACCACCAAACATCATAGGGACAAAAAAGCCTTTTAAAGTCAAACAAGTAAGCTATAAGAAGTTCAATGGTGTCTGCTGCTGAAACTAGTGGGCGTAAATACGATTTAGTCTGCTCATGGAGCCGACAAATATAAAACATTTTACAAAAATGCGACTCTTGACGTTAGTAATATTGACAAAGCGAAACCCGTCAAATGTCTAATGACCTTTTATATATGACGTTCCTGGCTTTTCATTTGTTTCCGATGACTTGTCTTTTGCTACAAGGAAATGCAATAAATTTGTATATGTAAAGCGCGCAAACATCTGGAGCGGCCATGATGTCTTACATGAAAATGTCGCTTTGAACTTTCCAGAAGTCGCGTTGGTGTTTCTTGATTTAAAATTTCACCGTTTTATTTATACACATGTAAATATTTAATTCGAGTATTATGGAGGCTTAGACGATGGATTGCACTAACATCAGGCCGAATAAATCCGAGCCAACACAATTTTCCGTGTTGGGAAACAGGGTTTCCTGTATAATTGACAATTTCACTTTTATACAATACCACGAGATAAACAAAAGCTATAAGAGCTAGAATGTTGATCTGCAAGTATATTAAGATTTAGAAGACCTACAATACAAGCTGTCATAATCTGTATGAAAACATGTAACACCAATTCACGTAAATGGCTCTGATAATGTTATAATAGGGACCATATGCTTTCACTCATATCGCACAAAGCTTTCAACATTTTACGGATTTTGAACGATTTTGACGTCTTATAAATGCATATTTTGCGCATTTACCATGTTCATAAATAGCATTTTGTCATATCGAAGATGACAGACGAAAAGCGTTATAAATTATAAAAAATATATTACTTTCCATATTTGTATGTTTTTAGCTGTTTTATGGCTTTTAAAGCTGCATATGCCAAAATATGTTAATAAAGTGAAACCTGAGAAAAATGTACTAATATTTAGGAAAAATAAAATATTCAATATTTATGTAATAATTTAAATGTAATCTTGAATCTTTTTACTTTTTTATGCTGTTTACTAATGGGGACTTGGACTATAAATTGTCGAATAAATCTGAGTCTGCAATATTTTGCCGTGTTGGGAAACAGGCACGGTTTCCAATATTAACAATTGACTTTTATACAATATTGCAATTCTAGTATTTCATCTTAAAAAATATCACAGACGTCGATATTACTGGAGAAATCTATTTTGTTTTATATTAGAAAACCGGTAGAAAAGTTAAAAGGAACTACCTGTTAGAAGCCATTTTACCTCGTATTATATTGAAATTTCCACTGCAAATAAGAGAAACTATGTGATTTTCTGTCTCATTAAGCGAGCTATGTTTTCCAAGGGCACCTTCAGATTTTAGAAAATTCTCGGTAAATTACATTTTGTCTGTCAGCGTTATTGACATGCAACATATATCAACATGCTAACAGCTCGGCAGCCTTTCGTATCATTACTTTCTATTACTGTCAGCAGTTAAATATTACTTTTCATTCTTGTATTTCTTATTGAAAGAAAAAGAATAATTTTCTCATTAAAGTCAAAATAAAAAAATAAGTTTAGCCGAGGCCATGTATAAATAAAAAAGAAACAAAGTTACAATTTCAAAATGAGATAAAGAAATAATAGCATGTAATGGTCTCCAATAATATGGCTTGAAATGTACATGTTTTTTATTTTCTATATTAGTACATGTCTTTTTTATGTAATAGTTTCCCATTGTCCTCTACTGTGCAAGGCAATCAACACATAGACAAATGATGATAATTGATATACAATATAAACGTGCAGCCTAATGTTTCCCTGAAACAGAAGAAAATGTATTTGGAACATGAAACAATTTAATATCGGGAATAAATGTTATTTCAGATATTTAAGATGATTACGAGCCGCAATTTCATTCTTTTAACGAGCATAATTATTAAATTATCGCGTGCAGAAGTCAAAGATTTTTTCCCACTTTTAGCTCGACTATTCGCAGAATAATCGAGCTAATGCAGTCACCCGGCGTCCCTGTGGTTAAGTTTTTGCATGTAAGCCGGTATCTCCATAACTACTGAAGGGAATGGATTGAAACTTCAAACACTTGTTCTATGTGATTATCTAAGATGATTGGCACAAGTCCCATAACTCTGATTTGCTTTTTTACATAATTATGCCCCTTTTTCGACTTAGAAATTCTTGGTTAAGTTTTTGCGTGTAAGCTGGTATCTCCATAACTACTGAAGGGAATGGATTGAAACTTCACACACTTGTTCTCTGTGATTATCTAAGATGATTGGCACAAGTCCCATAACTCTGATTTGCTTTTTTACATAATTATGCCCCATTTTCGACTTAGAAATTCTTGGTGTAAGCTGGTATTTCCATAACTACTGAAGGGAATGGATTGAAACTTCACACACTTGTTCTCTGTGATTATCTAAGATGATTGGCACAGGTCCCATAACTTTGATTTGCTTTTTTACATAATGATGCCCCTTTTTCGACTAAGAAATTCTTGGTTATGTTTTTGCATGTAAGCTGGTATCTCAATAACTACTGAAGGGAATGAATTGAAACTTCACACACTTGCTCTCTGTGATTATTTAAGATGATTGGCACAAGTCCCATTACTCTGATTTGCTTTTTTACATAATTATGCCTCTTTTCCGACTAAGAAATTCTTGGTTAAGTTTTTGCGTGTAAGCTGGTATCTCCATAACTACTGAAGGGAATGGATTGAAACTTCACACATTTGTTCTCTGTGATTATTTAAGATGATTGGCACAAGTCCCATAACTCTGATTTGCTTTTTTTTACATAATTATGCCCCTTTTTCGACTTAGAAATTCTTGGTTAAGTTTTTGCGTGTAAGCTGGTATCTTCATAACTACTGAAGGGAATGGATTGAAACTTCACACACTTGTTCTCTGTGATTATCTTAGATGATTGGCACTAGTCCCATAACTCTGATTTGCTTTTTTACATAATTATGCCCCTTTTTGACTAAGAAATTCTTGGTTAAGTTTTTGCGTGTAAGCTGGTATCTCCATAACCACTGAAGGGAATGGATTGAAACTTCACACATTTGTTCTCTGTGATTAACTAAGATGATTGGCACAAGTCCCATAACTCTGATTTGCTTTTTTGTATAATTATGCCCCTTTTTCGACTTAGAAATTCTAGGTAAATTTTTGCTTGTATTCTGGCATCTCCATAACTATTGAAGGGTTTGTACCTTTTAGGACAATTTTATGTATTCATATAGGTAAGGATTATTATACTCAATGAAACACCCTTGTGACAACTTTTCGAATAGTCGAGCGTTACTGTCCTCCGACAGTTCTTGTTTTAAACTGTTGTTGAAGTTAATTACATAAACAAGTATTTTTTAAAACTATGTTTAGATCAAATATCATCATAAAGCAAACAAAGAAATGACAGTATGGCATTGGCCATTGAATATATTGATGCATATCTATAATTATTCGAGTCTATCAGAACTGGATTCCGACATTCTACCTTCTACCGGATAAGACCACGTACCGAACGTTTTACATTTGCACATTTTGACTCAGACTTACATTTTTTTTAATTCTTTAGAAATATCAACAATGTGTTTAAGTCGTGTTTTAAGAATGTATTTAGAGCATGTTACATGTTTGATAACCGAAGAAAGTATCACTGTCTGAACGTAAAGTTATGTGCTGTAAAGGTAGCAAAATGTAAATAAAGTAGTTTGTTGACTACCATACAAAATACTAATTCAATATAATAAGTATACCAGTTGCTAAAAGTGCAAATATAAGCAAAAGATAGTTACTTTATATGGCCAAAAAAGTTTATTTTGGAGAAAACGTAACAAAATACCAAGATTTAAGATTATGTTGCATAGAATATTTTTTCCTGTCAGCGTCGCTTCCTTTATGAAAGAACATTTTTCTTATTGACGAGCCTCATTCCAGGTTTTGTTCTATATATAGAAACAAAGGATAATGCCGATATTAATAGCATTTCAATTCAGCGGATACACATGTATGCTTTAAAATATCATATATATATTTATTAATTACCATCAATATTTATTAAAAATGTTTTATTTCCGGTAGACGGTCGCCAGGTATGAAATAAATTAATCATTTCGATCGCTTTTCGGGCTCCATCTATTTAACGTTATATTCAGACCGGTCAAGAAAATAAAAAAGTGTATAAAATAAAGATCTCGAACCAAACGTAATCCCGAAAAAAATCGTATTTCTATCGTTTATTGTTTGTTATGTACACTAAAAAAAATCAATTTTTATCCGGTACTAAATGGTCGGAATCTAGTCACTTATGATAATTGAGTTATAACTTTATTACATGGAACTATGAAAGACAATTTGACAGAAAGTTTGAACAATTAAGAATATGAAATGTTTTTTGTCCTTGAAACTATATCCGTAAGCAATTTTAATGTCATATCTGTAATTGGAGCTATACCCACGCTTCCTTATTTTAAAAAGAGGTACAATTCCCCCAAGAATTGCCGTTAAAGTATATTTCCATTCTTCTTCATCAAACTAAATAACAAGATTTTATTTAAATCTATTTTGTATTTTTCCCAACAGGCATACCAATAAAACAAGAAGGAAATGTTTATCTTGTTTATACAGACGTTCAAAGTCCTGACAATATTTTGATTTCCATTCAGACATTGTCATCAGGTTGTGACAGGAAACATTTGAATGGTATATACATGTATATGTTTCTTCTACTGTTTTTCATTAATAATGTGCAGACTATTTTATATTTGTAATTTCAAGTAAATAATCTATCTAGCATGAACTCGATTTTTGAAATACACATTTAAAAGAAGTATTCAATTT